GTTATTGCAGACCATTATTATACCTTGGCCCATAAACAGATTTTCAAGACAGCGGTACAAATTCTGACCAAAAGAAAATGAAAATGAATGCGAGCTTATGCCAATGATATGAAGCCTGATCTGAGTTCCGTAATTATCACCTCAACCAGCAGTTTAAAGCAGAGTTAAAGAGAAATAATTCACATTCCTCTCCCCAACAACATTTAAATGATAATGAATTTCTCCTTGGGTAATAAGCAGTTAGTTAGCGCTCATATGCTGGAGCCTGGCAAGGAAACCTTTCTTGTGGGCAGCTTTGGAGCCTGCTCTTTTCTTTAAGATGTTCTAATTTAAATGCAGATGTAGGCTTCACACTAGTGGGTTTTGTTTAAAAAAAAATAAATAAAAAATAAAAGTCTTTGCTGTGTTGGAAGGAAGCAGCAGCAGGAGGAGCAGCTCGCAGTGTGTGCGTGTGGGTGTGCAAGCACTCCCAAATACGTGATCAGAGCAGAACCTCCTCCGGAGGGCTCTCCTGGGTCATGGCATTGCACCAATGCTTTCCGAATTGTTACATTCCAATCCTTTTTCCAAGTCATTCTTCACGCATTTCCTTCCCCTTGAGGGACACACACACGGTCGTTTTGAGTACACATTAAATCCCCGGTAGCTTTTTCCTGTGTAAATCAGTCTCCAGGACTGGAGCTGGAGAAGAATACGAAATCCTGCTGAGCCAGCATCCCTTCTGTCAGGAAGACAACAGTTAAACACAGACAGCTTCCCAAAACTTCCCTTGTTACAGGCAGTTTATGCCACTCCCTGTCCAAGTTCATTTTCTCTTCTACAAATGCATTAATTTTGCTAACTGCTTATGGGAGCATGCAAGCCCAGCTTGCAAAATCATTCGTGCTATTTCCTAAATAATCAGTCGATATCCTGAGTAATTACTTCTCCCTTCACCTGCCCCCACGCACTGACTCAATTCTCACGTGGAAACGTTCACAATGGTCTGATTTTCTTCAGGAAACAACTTATCTGAGTTTCCCCTCAGGGCAGACACTCTCACATATTCAGTAAAGCTGATTCATGACTGAAAATGGGACTCTTTGCCCTAATTTCTCCTCTCCCAAGTAAGAGAGGCTTCCCACTACAGGTCCTTTGTATGTCGACTTGTTGGGTATCCTGTGCAGATACTGCTTTGGCTGTATAGCAGGCAAGCTTCACTTCTGGGTGGTTTGCTTCCTCATTTTTACCAAGTCTTAAATACCTTCTGTGTCACGAAGCACTGGGATCTATGAAGAATACAAGCCAGCAGTTCCAGAAATGCCTGCATCCTCAACAGCACTGCTGGTTCCACACACCTCCAGCACACCAAAAAATATCAAGAATGATAGATCAGCTCCCGAAATACTATTTGACCCCAATACCAAACCCTGCAATGTTAACTTCGTAGCCCAGCAGATTCTCACATACCAATTTTAGAGACCTAAGAGCCCATTTAGCAAGGGCAACCACAACGAGCAGCCAAATTCAGTGCTCAGAGTAACACTGCACCTCTGCTAAATAAGAGAACCTACTCAGAAGTCACCACACTGAAGCATATCTACGTGCCTACTCAGTCTATAAGCAGAAACAAGAAGTTACCACGCATACTCAGTTAGTCAGGAAGTGCAACACAGCACCCTTAACAGTGCTGATTTTTAAACAGAAACGCAAGTGACCTAAAGCAGAATTTAAATAGTTATCTTCCAAGCTCTACTAATAAAATACACAAGCAAGTTCCCCTTGCAGCAACTGCAGGATGGGTTTGTGGAAGTTGGTACCAGCGTCAGCTGAATGACTACAGCCAACCACGCTGCCCAAGGACAGAAAGGAAGCCTTGAGGGCTGACAGCAGTGTGTGAACCATGAGGACCGTTGAGGTATGACACAGGAGGGCGTTTAACAGCTCCACCATTGCAGCTGGACTAAAACTGAAGGAACAAAGACTCACCCACATCCGTAGTACAGCGGGTGAGCATGCGAGGCTGTCCTAGCCCTGCTCTTGGTGTGTTATTCTGACTTTCAAACAAGGCTTGTGTTGTGCTGTGCATAAACACACCTTCTGACGTCCAAACGCAACCTTACTTCTGCTGGTGGATTTTAAACTAAGCCTGCCTTACAGCAAACCCCAGCAGCATCCGTGCTGTGCTCCCACGCAGCTTGCTCAGAACATGCACACACTGCAGTGCTGCAGAGCACCAACATTGCCTGCCACACATCTTGCAGCTCTGAGAGGTGTGTAATGCAGCACGGGCAGCCACAAAACATGATGGTCCTTGCAGCTCTGCCCCGGTTCTGCCTCAGCCCAGTGCAGAAGAGTCTGTGAAAAGTATGAGCAAAGGCACAAAGGGATTTAGAAATAAGAAAAACAGCTTTGGTTGCTTTGATGCCCAAGTCTGAGGACAAATCTGCTCCCACAGCCTCAGACACTTTGGGCATTTCTAATGGCTGACACGTTTGCTAGCAGCAAACACCTGCAAGGTTTGCACGCTACTTATGCAAATGTCACAACAGTGCATTTGCTTTACATCAAGAGATTCTGGGGGGAGGAAAACAACGGCTACACAACAGGAAACAAACCGAATGCTAAATCTGGAAGGCAGGAAGAAAGAAGCTTCAAGGACAACAGGAAAAAAAAAAAAAAAAAAGCCAGAAAAAGTCAAGAAAAAGTGATTATTCAGTAGACCAAATTAGATTTCTAAAGGCATGTTTTCAAAACACTGTAGACAAACATTAGCTTACATAAGATCAAGACAGATTCTTTATATATACATACATATGCACACACGCACTGCCACGAGTGTGCTTGCAATGAATACCAGATTCGAGTTATATTTGTTTGCTCTGCAGGATGCTGACAAGCTTCCAGAAAGTTTCTCCCACGCTTTGGATATTTGAACTCATTCATGCTTACAGACATAAAAAAAAAAAACAAAACCAGAAAAAAAAAAACCACACCATTTTTGTCTTCAACTCCTAACAAGGTAAGAACATCTTACCTTCTAAATCAAAAGGTGCATCGATGGCAACGTTTCTTTTAAGTCAATTGAAGAAGAAACAAATGAACAGCATTCAGTTATCAGCTTCCCAAAGGCTGATGCTGGAAGTGCAGCAATTAGCAGATTCCCTATAGCTGAACTAGCAGCAGCATTCTTTGGGCAGAGCTATCTCTTGAACTTGTACATGGTTTACATGCACGCCCTCTTTCTTCTCTACAACAAATTAGAGAATTGAGAAGGTTACCACTCCTGTTACCAGCCCCAGGATAAGTGTATTTTGCCCTCTGTGCCAAAACAGTAACTGCTGCTTCCTGGGCTGAGCACGAAGCAGGAGATGCCACAACACCAGCTGGGATGCGATTCTGCTTTCACTCTTAGGTCTGTAAGTCTCACTGCAGTTGCTTCTCTGGTAAATTGTTTATTTATGAATGGCACAATTAGCAAATCACCAGAGACTCCTGTCACCTCTCCTGAATCCTCTTCCAGTTCATTCATTCGGATCCTCCTGCTCCTTTTACCAATTTGTTTGAGTGCAGATGGAACGAGGAGCTTTTCTGGGATGCTTCACTCTGCAAAAACATTTCTCTGCTTCCCTCTGAAATACCAAGGGGCAGGAAGGGAGAGGTTGAACCTACTATTGACACGGCTATCCTCCATTTGCTCATCAGATGTTCCACACTGACGACAGGCGGATCACGACGCACGCACAGCTAACCAGAACAAGCATCAGATAAACCCTGAAGGGTTTCACATACCCTCAGGTGTTTCTGGAGGCAACTGTGAACGTTCTAGAAAACAATATCACCTGTATTACGTGGCAGCAACATACAAAACACAAGCAATAACTTCTACTTTAGATATTTCAGGAGGAACCTGTTGCACTGTAAAGTCACCATCTCCAATGGTCATCCATCTGTCACCACGTCAAAGAACAACCCCATCAAATAAGCAGGAGACTCAGAGCTCAGTTGCTGTGGGTTTAGACAGAAAACTAAACTTCTTCTAAGGGAGACAATCAGACCACATGAAGATGCCATATTCACACTCTCAAGCCCCGTCTCCAGCAAGGTAACTGCAAGTCTCCTCTGATAAAGCAATGCTAAAGAGCAACTCTAAAAGAGATCTTTGTTTCTTAATTCATTCTTCATCACTGGCAATGAGAAATCAAACAGCATGATCAGCAGCTTCTGCAGCCACTCCAACAGACTTGCTGGAGTTCAGCATTATAGAATATGCTACAGAGAGCTCAATATATACCAGAAACATGTGCCAGCACTTCTCTTTTTTCTTCACCCCAAAGTAATTCAAGCAAGTAGCTGCCAGGGCGTTAACCACATATTCTCCCCAGAGCAATTACGTTCAGCTACTGGGTTGTTTCACTTTTTTTTTTTTCCACTGTTTCTTAATTCAGTGCCTGCTGCAAAAAGCTGAAATGACTTTTAAATGGCAAGTGCACGCTTTGTATGCCTCCGCCCATTACATCTTGCTGCCAGCAGTTGGACAAATGCATAAGATCAATGTTTCCCAAAGCTGTATTCTTCCCTTAAGTCACCCTAGCTCCCCTTAAAGCCAAATGAAGATGCAGCCTTTCAAGTACAGCACAGCGCTCCTCAGGATCCAGACAAAGCCTAAAGATAACTGCTTTGCTACAGAACACAAAACATTCTTCTGTTTCCTAAAACTGCCAGAAAGGTTATTCTGAATCTTATCATCCTTTACAAAGGGAATAAGACCTTTTCACAGCACGCTTTATTGCTCACACGCACCGAATGAACCCGAACTGCACAACGAGGGCCACGCAGGCTCTGAACACACACCCTGCACTCTGATTTCACTAGAACCAAGTGTATTTTGCTTGAAACTCTACACTTAGCCTTAAATTTCATCAGTCTGTTCTCATGTACAGACACGTCACCCAGCAGACATCACTTCACTAAAGCACATTAGGATCACGAATATTGGAATGCATTTTTCCCCCCGTTACCTAGGCTGAGAGTTCTCCTCGTACATCCGCTCTTTCCCCTCCTTGAAGAGGCTGATGGTCTGCTTGGTTTTCTTCATCAGGTTCTCCATGAACACACGGAAGTACTCGTTTTCTCCCAAGGTCTCCATCTTCCCCTCGTAACGTGACAGGATGGTCCGGAGGTGCTGGTAGGTGTCGGGCAGCAGGTCCAGGATGTAGGGTGGGCTGTTCTTCAGGGCCAGCTTTGGGTTCTGGCACAGGCGTACCACCTGTGGATCATCAACAACAGTCATTTTTAGAACTTAAAACTAGCAAGCAAGCCATCAGTCACTTGCAGACCATCCCGTGTTACTTACAAACCACATTTCTTCTGTTCAGACAGGGAGCCCAGCCACTGGGCAAGCCTAGAGACCAAAGCACAGCAGGATGCAAGCTGAACTTACTACAGGTTTTCACTGTATATACCAATGTCTCATGATAATAAGTTTGTGATGGGGGAGAATAAAAGAAGGCTCTCTGCCACCTACTGCTGCCAACGTTATCTGCTGTCTAGAATGAGAGAAGGGAAGGGAGAAAGAATGGCAAAATGGCAATTGGAAAAATTACCGGTGTGCTGTCAGTTGTAAGAAGAACCAAAACTGCTATTCTGTTCCACTGTTTTGAGCCCAGTTTCAGAGCTTGGAGAACTGAGAAAGCAGCTCGCACAGCCTTACTCCTGCCCTGCTAGATAACCACTTCCAGCTTCAGCCTCTTCCATCAGATGCGAGCAGAAAAGCAGCACAAAATAAAGCTATTTAAAGCTCTTTGCTAAAGTGCAAGTTATCTGACAGCCTAATACCAATGCACACTAATGAGGTCTATTAATGACAGCCACGTGCACGATGCCACATACAGGGGTCCTCATGCAGACAACACCTCCACAAAGCCTTGGGAAATCACAATGGCTCAAGTTGGAAGGGACCTTAAAGATCACCTAGAAAGCTTCCTGAGCGATCTGCTGGTTCCCTGCTTCCCTTAAGCACCTCAGCACTGCTGTAGAACAAATAAATTCAGGCTGAAGCAAAGCTTTAGTGTTTCACTTTGCCATTGAGGGCTGTAAAAAGGAACCCTGAAGGGTTAAGAGCCATCTCCACTGCCAGCTGACTTACAGCAGAGCCTCCAATGCGAGCTGACTGAGAAGGACTGTGTCACTGAAGAGATGGGCACCCTGTATATTAACAAACAAACAGAAAAATCCGACTGACATTTAGAGAACTGCTTGCCTAGAAAACCTTCCCTGAGAGGAGATGGAAATTAAAGCACCAAAATGGCCCCTGTGTGTGTTAGGAATCCTCAACCAGCGACGGGTGGTCACGCAGCTGACTTAGCCAATTGATTTGGATGCTTCAGTTGCTGCTTCCTTGGAGCCTGTGAACACTACAACGAACCACATCAACAAATTGAGTCAACGCATTTGTCCCCTGGATAAAACCAGCTTCACTGCAGAGCATGGGCAGATTCTAAATATGCTCCCCAGGCAGCAAAATCGCTTCCTCCATAGAGACTGTTTTCTTACACAGTGGCTTAAAAACTTAACAAAAGCAGTTCTTATGAGGAAGCCACATTAAATAGGCACACAGGTCTGAGTATGCCCTTCTCTCAGTCATCTATAATAGAGAACAGTTGGAAAACACCCAGCCACAGAAGCAGACCCTGTGAGTCAGTACTGCACCAACTTCAGCGGCGATTCCAACACGTCCATGCAGAAGTCCTGCAAAGCACAGTTCCCACAGGATGCCCCACAAAACATCCCTCTCACTTCACTGTGCTCTCCATTTTGCCATCCCATGTCCTATCCACAAGGAAGCTGGAGCCAGCCCATCTGCTAGGGCCACCGACCTGTTGCCTGATGGCAGAAAGGCTCCAGCACAGACACCTCTGCTCTGTGCCGTGGGCTGGGGATGCACTGCAGAGCTGCCCAGCCCCTGGAACCACTGCTCCATGGCACAGCTCTCCAGCACTGCTCAGAAACGCTACGACTCTTTCCTTAAGAGCAAATTCTGTTGAAATGACATCTCACCTTGAGACAGCAGTACAAGAAAAGCTACTCAGACTCTTCTTATCTCCTGCTGTGTTTGTACCCGGCTCTGCTACTCGCAAGGAAGGTGACCTACAGAGGCATTTCTCAGTATCAGCTTCAGAAGTAACATCAGCACGCTGCTCTGAGTTACCTCTAAGCTCATCTTCCTCTGCCAGGTTTCACTGCACCATACTGCACCCCTTAAACCTTGCTTCAAGACCACAACAGCAATCCCTGAAGTGCATCCAGGTGGTCTGCATCAGCTGCTGCCCCTCCACATCTGGAAGAAGCCATTCCCAATTACAGCTGTTCATGTAAAAAACCAAGAGCTGATTTCACCAGCCAACACACTGTATGTTTTCTTACACAGAGCACTGCTTTATTTGCTGAAGACAGTGATAAGATGAGCAAGCGTGATAAAAACAAATGAAAAGCAGTTCCTCCCACTTGAACCAATCTATACACCAGGTTCGAGATGCTGCAAGGAAGTGACTGCACTGCTTACTGTGCTGTTTGTGCAGGCTCACAAGATGCCTGACAACATACCCATCCTCAGAAGGGCGCTGATATTTCAGAGATAAATGCACAGATATCACCCAGTTGAGTGCAGGTGTGCATCCTTCTGCACGGCCACGACAGCGACGCAGAGGGCTGTGCTGTGTTAAGAGTGCAATCAGGGCAACGATTAGAACTTCAAGTTAAAGAATCTGAAAGGCAGGAATACATCAGGCAGCTTATGGAGAACATTACGGGGAAAGTATTTGGACAAGAATCAACTTGCATAGGAAATTCATCAGTCACATCCAGAAGCAGAGATGCACGATTGCTTTGACAACCCCTGTTCATTATGCAGGCTGAGGAATCAGGCCATGAACGCACTGTATGTACAGCACACATCTCTGCAAGGAAAACATCATCTATTAAACATGCACACAAGTTGTTTTTTCTTCATTTGCACCTGTACCTTCATTTAATTGGCCCAGAAAACTAACCCACTTTCAATAGCTCCCACGCACCCCTTCTCACCACTGGATCCACAACCACTGTATGAAGGCCTGGCAATTTCATACACAGATTTGCAACTCTCAGTGTGCATTTACACAACTAAAGCTAATTGAAATCAGAGAGGCTTTTCAACGTCAGATCTCCCTCCTGCTCCCATCACACTGCACAACAAGCTGTCTAAGACTCAAAAAAATTAAGCCTAGAGCCAGAGCTTTCAGGTGTCGCTTAGGAGCAAAACTGGGAAGCTGGTGCTTTTAGCATTTCCTTTGACTTGGGGCAAACAACTGTACCTTTATCTTGGCTTTTCTGTTGGTGATTTCATGGTGGAGATGGGGGATAGCCAAGAATGGCTCTCACAGACCTGTAGTGAATGCATACCCGAAACAGCCCGCAACAATCCAAAACACCTAAGTGTCTGCAGGCCAGCCTTTTCCTTAGAGCAGCCCACCTCATCAGGGCAAACACAGACTGCCATTCACCTCTATATCACAGGAGCAAGGAGGAAGATTTGCATTCCTCCAAGTTGTGCCTGCAAGTTGAATTTATTCCCAACAGAATCACATTTCTGTGCTCATCTTCAAACCAGTCTTCCTACCTTAGCCCTTATACTTATGCCCTCAGTGTGCGTCAGAGGCAGCCACTGGCACTTCTCAAAAGACCTCACATTGGATCCCAGTCCCTCTCTGCAGAAGGTGATCAAAGCTCATCACAAACCCAGCAGGGTGCAACCATAAACCGTGCCTTTTGTGGAGCCAGCCAACGCAAAGTGATTTCCTGGCACGAGCACCATTTAATAAGTCTTGAAGAAAGTCATCTACCCTGCCTTCCACAGCACCGACTGCAGGAGATTCAGTCACTGTGTGCATCAACGCAATGGAAAAGAGAGAAAAGAGGTGAAATGCATAAACCCAGGGGGTAATAGGGTGAGGGAGGGAGATACACTGTGCTCCTGGGGGAGGGTGACACTCTCCAGGGACCGCTGGGATCTTTGCATCGAGGCTGTGCTGCTCCTCAGGGCTGTCCTCCTGCCTTGAATCCAGCACAATCCACCACACACTGCAGTCTGCAGCACACCAAGCCTAACCTCAGCTCTCGACAGCAACAAGAATTATCACCATCGCAGGGAAAAACACATCAGATGTTTTTATTTCCTGCCCAACCGCGATACCTATGTTTTTCACCCAGAGACTGGTGATGCACTGGAACAGGTTGCCCAAGGAGATTGTGGATGCCCCATCCTTGGAGGCATTCAAGGCCAGGCTGGATGTGGCTCTGGGCAGCCTGGGCTGCTGGTTGGTGACCCTGCACACAGCAGGAGTTGGAGTTGGATGATCATTTTCAACCCTGGCTGTTCTATGATTCTATGTTCGCTTACTGGGCCACCTTATACACACCACGAGAACCCACGACGTGCTGCTCACCAGGATCTCTCCCAGCGGCACACAGGGCCACAGCTCCAGGCCGGGGGCTGCCGCCCTGCTGTGCCCATGGCCATTTCCTGCCGGCACGAAGGCCACACGAGGGGAATGCCCGACCCCAGCACCGAAACCTGGGATTGGGAGAAGTCCCCGTCCATTCCCACACCGCGAGGTTTGGGTGCTTATCGTCAGATCCGATTCTATTTTTGCAAAGGCTTTTACACAGCATTTCGTGCTGTTCCAGCAGTGCAGCCCCAACCCCATCACATAGCAGCACAGCGCCGTACAGCCTCGCCCCATCGCGTCCCACAGCCCCCCCCGAGCCCGGCCCACCCCTCGAGTCCCCCCCGTGCCACCTCCTGCCCGGGCCCACCTTATCCATCAGCTTCCAGCACTTCTCCACCATCTTTTTATCCACGGCGCCGGGCTGATGCGGCCCGAGGTGGTGGTGATGCGGCTGGAAGGCGTCCTTCATCAGCCCGATCAGCCCGCCGGGGCCCTTCTTCAACGGAGCCGACATGAGGGCAGCGCGGGGGCGGCCGACCGAGAGCCCACAGCCGCCCCCACCCTGAGCGGCACCGGGCCGCGGCCCTGCGGGGCTGACGGCCGTGAGGAGCTCCGGGCCGGGCAGGGCCGGACGGGCGGCGACAGAGCGAGCCGCGGGCGGTGGCGGCGGCGGCGGCGGCGGGGGGCGCCCGGCTCCAGCGCCGCTCCGCCCTCCGCCCCGGCCACGCCGCGCGCTGATTGGCGGGCCGTCCCCTCCGCGCGCCACGCTCCGCCCCCCCCTCCGGGGAGGAGCCGCTGCCCATTGGCTGGCGTCAGCGCCCAGTAGGAAGGAGGCGAGCGGAGGGCCGAGCGGCAGGACACGCCTCGTCCATTTGGAGCATGCGCAGAGCGGCAGGAGGGCGGTGCGGCGGCCATGTTTAGTGCGGGCGGGGTGGGGCGGTGTTGCCATGGGAACGGGTCCCGCTGGCGGCGCGTTGCCCTCGGGCCGTTCCGCACTGTTCTGCGGATCTTGCACGACAGACGATTTCCCCTTTCTGAAAACCAGCTTCCCTTTTCCCCAAATAAAGAACTGACAGGCGTTGAAAGCGGGAAGCAGGGCTGTCCTGTTCCGGCACAGAGCTTCCCCATGTCTGTGTGCCCCCAGAACCCGCTGTACCATCACCTTATAATTGCTTGTGTCTTTGTGCCGGCCAGGCCTGCAGCACAGCGCCCATAAGTGGGAAGGCTGCTGGCACAGGGCACAGAAGGCCATGGCCTCTGCTCCCTCCGTGGAAGCAGAACCAAAGTGAAGCAGATCTCTGGTGCCATCCTAAGGCATCCTAAGGTGGTGTTTGGTGGCATGGTGGCATCTCCCTCCGTAACAGGGCCAGCACTGCACCAGAGTGTGGGAGCAGGGAGAGCAGGGAGAGGAAAGCAGGCCATGCCGTGTGCATGTCTGTATTTTGACACAGCTGACAGCAGCAGGCCTTTGGAAATTACAGCGTGAGCCCGAAAGTGAGCTCAGTTCTGTTTCCGTGCCGCCTTCAGATCCTCTTTTCAGCTCCCTTTCCAGCCAGAACGCTTCCTCTGTGACAAGCAGGGCTGCTGCAAATCTGCGTCAGCATCACGGCGTGGGCTGCAAGGAGAAGAGAGACTGCAGCAATGCTTTGACACCCCTGGCCTGCAGGCTGCCAACCAGCTTGATGCAGGGCCCTGGATGAGCAGGGCGGTGTGAAGCAGCACCCAGCACCGGCTGGGAGCCCTGTGTCGAACGGTTCTAAAGCTCTCTGTCTTGATTTTACTGCCTTTCGTAGAGTTCAGTATATATTTCTGGGACAGGCAGCTCCTTGTCTGGCTTTAATTACCTGGGCAAATTTTCTTAAGGATTATATTGACCTCAAATATGTCAACGTTTATTGAGGCCGTGTTCCTGAGGCTTTTCCCATTAGATGTTAATGGATTCTGGCTAATAGTCAAGCCGGATTGACCACCGGAGGGTGCCCTGGCCAGCTCCAGGATACCACAAGTACCTGGGGAAAGGGATGGGGAGGGTTCCACTGGCTTTGTGGAGCCAAAGAGAAAAATCACCATGGCCTCGATCCAAAGAGATCAGAGAGCGTGCTGGAGCAATTGCACTCCTGATCATCTGCTGCTGCTGTGGGCATGCCTCACCCCTAGTCATGGCTGTGTTCATGTGCAAGGCTTCAAGGAAAGGTTGCTGTCCCCTCCCTGCAGAAAGGGCTGTGGCATTCAAGTTGGATTTTAGAAAAAAATGATGCTCAGAAAGAGCGGTCAGGCATTGGAACAGGCTGCCCAGGGAAATGGTGGGGTCACCATCCCTAGAGGTGTCCCAGAATGGTGGAGATGCAGCACTTGGGGACATGGTTCAGTGCGCACGGTGGAGATGGGCTTATGGTTAGATCTGATGAGCTTACTGGTCTTTTCCAACACTAATGACTCTATGATTCTATTCCTATGCAGAGCCTCTGCCAGCTCACTGCTCCTGCTGCCCTGCCCATACAGCAAGGTTTAGGTTCCACTGAGCAAATCTCACCTATATGCTCCCAGGTGTTTTGGGTGAATCACATCCTGAGCAGAAATAACTGTTTGAAATCCCATCCCTTCCTCCCCGTCCTGTTTTATAAAGAGGCTCCAAATCCAGCCACAGTCCCCAGGGCAAAAATCACTGCAGCAAGCAGGAGAGCAAGCAGGAGGGTGTGCCAGAGGGGAGAGGCAGGGCAGGAAGGGAGGGAGATGCTGGACCTGTCTCAAGCTGTGACCCGGGGGCATCACCTTTCCCACTCCATCCCTGCAGTGGCAGGGCTGCTGCAGGACCACAGCTCTGGGACTCACATAGGACAGAATCCACCCAAACTTGTGGGAACCACGTCCTGCAGCCAAACCCAGCCAGCTGAGTTCTGGCAGTGGGGCTGGCTTTAGACCACTCCAGCACTGCTGTGCTGGGTGTGTGTGGCCCATGCCTGTGTCACAGGAGAGAAATGCTCAGCTGCTGCAAAGCGGAGGCGGCTGCGGGGCCAGGCAACCTGCCCTCGCTGTGCACACAGTTGCTACAACAACAGCTTGGCTCGGAGGCAGCTGCTGTGTCCTGAGGGATTGAGCTCTGTGCTCCCAGCTTTGCCAGAAGGATGCCTCCAAAGGGCAAAGGGAAGAGGAAAAAAGGAGCGAAGCAACACAAAAAGGGAAATGCAGCAGGTGAGTCTGGGGACTTGCAGACTAACGCCAGCTGGGACGTGCCCCTCTTCTCCGTCCCCTGATACCTCCCTGTGTGCCTGATTAGAAACAGGAGGCAGCGGGGTCTGGGCTCTGCTCAAGCATCCTGCATCCTACCGCACCCTGCAGCTCAGTGGGACCTGGGTGGGGGGTCAAACACAGTGGCTCCTCCAGGCCCCAGCTCCTCCTACAGAGCTCCAACTGGAGGTGTGTACTGGAGGAACACAGGTAGGGGTTTGGAAGGATCCCCGAACCTCTGTGTGCTAAGGTCCCCAGTTACTTCCCAATCTTCACTATGAAATCTCAGCTTTCAATCCCAACCTCACATGCACCTCTCCAGGGAAGCTGCTTCAAGTAAAACTGGCTACATCCTGATCCTTTGCACAGATACAGCCCTGGCATTAGTGTTTCAGCTGGAGGCATGTCCCAGCCTGGGTTGAACATCTCCAGGCAGGCTGCCCCCAGGCCATCTGACAGCTCCCAGTATCCCTGGGCCAAGCCCCACCAACCAGCTAATTCTGACTCCGTCCCTTCTTCCTCCCCTCTGGCAGCAGAAAGCCAAGCTGCAGCCACATCCAGGAGAGCAGCGCTGGAGGCTGACAGGCTGCAAGAGCACCCAGGTAAGATGGGGAGGAGCCAGGGGCATGCTTGCAAGCAAGGAAAAGCTAGGAAAGATGCAGTGTTGGACCAAAGGGCTGGGCAAGGCATCTCGCCCTATGGTTTGAATACAGCCACAGGCTCCAGTGTGCTCCAAGGGCTGGATCCCAGTGGGTCACCCCAGCAGCACGCTGCCCCCACAGCAGCCCTCTGTCTCGCAGCTCACTGGAGGGATGTGGCCTGGCAGATGAGGGCTGACACTGAAGGGCTCCGGCGGAGGCTGTGGGAGCTGGAGCAGGCACTGGAACGGGCGCAGGATGACAAGAGAGACATGCACGAAGGTAATGGACGGGGTGGGAAGGGGCAGGTGCAGGAATCCCACATCTCAATGCCAGCCAGGGATGCCAGCCAAGCTCACCCCACCTCTCCCAACATCCTGTTCTGCTCAGCCCCAAAGCACCCATGCCATTGGCATGCTGAGGCTGTGCACTCGCTGCACCCCAACTGCTGTCCTTACACCAGACCACAGCCTGCAGAAGTCACTGCCTCACCGCTTCCTTCAGCGTTTGAGAAGGAGATGGTTTTAACAGAGGTAAAACCTCAGCCAGAGGTTTGCGGTCTTTGCCACATGCAAAACTCCGTGCTCAATTTCACTCTCCCACGCTCAGCAGAGGTTGAACTAACTTTCCACCCCCCTCCCCAGGGCTCCCTCCTGCCCGTACCACAGCCCAGCAGGACAAGGAGAGGGGGCATGGCCACTCCAGGTGCACAGCCTGCAAGAGAAACCCTGGCCACAGGTTCTGGGCTCCTAGCACAGGGATTGCCTGCTTGTCTCTCCTATTGTCACCACTTGTCCCTTTCTCCTCTCCTTGGTTCCCAGAAATGACCCGGCAATACCAGGAGCTGCAGAAGCAGACAGCAGCACACAGCCAGCGCCTGGAGGCAAAAGTGAAAAGCCTGCAGGAACAGCTGGGTATGGCCTTGCCTGTGTGGGATGGGAGTGGGTTTGTTCACTCCAGGGCAGGAAAGCATTCATTTGGGGGAGCAAGGGGAAACAGGAGATATTCACCTTGTGCTGTCTGCCAAGCAGCAGCTGAAGGCAAAGCTTGGTCCCAGCGCATCCCTGAGCTTGGTATACTGAAAGCAAAGGGGATGCTGTGCTCCCACCGCATCCCAAACCCTGGGGTGGGGGCTGTGCTGCACCCTCCATGCCCACACAGTGTCCCTTGCCTTTGTCCACAACACCCCACAGCCACCAGGCTGCAGGAAACCCAGCACACCCAGCAGGCTGCCACCAAAGCACTTGCAGAGAGGGACAGGACCATCGCCCAGCTGCAGGGCAGAATGGACATCATGCAGAGGGAGTATGAGAAGATCTTCCACGTGAGCAGGGACGCGGCTGCGGGTGGCTCCCTTCAGCACAGTCCCCCCTCCTCACCACCCTCTCCCCCAACTAGGACAGCCTGGACCTTGTGCTGGCCAAGATGGCAGAGGCCAGGCAGCACTGGGAGGAGGAGGGCACAACCATCTGCCTGGAGCACAAGCAGCACCTGCAGGAGTTCGGCCTCAACCCCCTGGAGATGTAGCACTCAGGGACCCCCCACAGAAGAGGTCAGGCTCTCAGCCTCTATCAGCACAGCTGCCCCGGGGTTCTGTCTGTCCCTGGGATATGCTGCTGGATGACAGACCCCCAGCACACCACTCACGTGAACGGCAGCGTGGATTTGTCCTTTAATCACTCTCCAAAGCAGCGACATGGGAACAGTGCTGTGATGAGGGCAGGTACCACCCAGCAGTTCGTAGAGGAGGAGCACGAGGGAGCACGAGTCCATGCAGGGCAGACCTGAGCCCAGATGAGAGCTGGGGGGTTCCTTCAGCACCCTTTTCCCCTTAGCCCAAAGTCCAGCCCCCTGGGTCATGGCACGGAGGGCAGTGCCTTGGCTCTCCTGGGAGCAATCCAGAGCCTGGAGCTGAGCATTATGTCCCCAGATATCCCTGGAGGTGTGGGAGTGTCTTCAGATTACTGCTACAGTCAATAAAAGCTTGAGGCCAACCTTGGCCAGTAGAAACGAGTCTCTGGTAGGTGTGATGCTGGAAGTTCTACCCCAGGAACACAGATGCAGTGCTGTTCATAATGACAATCATTGTGTTCTCTGGGTATATCAGCAGTGCTGCATGGGATCCTGGCTGGAAGCAGGGTGCTCCAGGCTGCTAGAATGCATGGCGCAGCCGCCTCTGCTCTCTGCATGGGCTCTGCAGGGACACAGCAGGGACAGGTAGGCAGCACACTGCCACCAGCCCCGTGGTGCCAGGAGTTCAGCACAGAGGGCACAGGGTAGGAGAATGCCAGACTCAGGGCAGCGCAGTGAAATTTTTTTACCTGTGTGATGGTTATGCTGTTGGCAGCAGTCATCAGCCAGGAGCCAGGTCCCTTTGGTCCCACATCGATGTGACAGAGCCCAGGGAAGTCGCTGGGAGAGGGCAGGGAGGATGTGCAGGAGCCCAAGGCAGGGTCACCGTCATCGAGGAACAGCAGAGGGGACAGCCCTATCTGCAAGAGCATCACGGTTGAGCCATGCAACCCCTGGAGCTCCTTGGCAAGCTGGAGGTCTTGGAGAGGACCTCACTATGCAGGTCTGGGGATGAGGAATCCACCTTGCAGGCCGTGCGTTCCGCAGCACGTACCGAGCGGTAGAACGCATCGCTGGCAGGGTCGATGACCAGCAGTGTCACCTGCTCCTTGTGGGCACGGATCCTCAGCACCGTCTCCTGGTGGTCCAAGCCCTCGATGCTCTCACCATTCACAGCCAGGACCCGGTCCCCTTCCTTCATCCCTGCCTGCTCAGCCGGCAGCCCCACGTCTATGTCCCATAGGAACTGGCCTGCAGGGATGAGGGAGGAGGGATGCTCACCAAGGCATTCAGTGGGCATCCCAGCACTGCTGCCCCTGAGCGCGGGTGGGATCAGCTCCCTTAATCAGCTCCCTTACCTACAGCCCCCGAGCCATAGTCATCCTCCTTGAGCAAGAACCCGTAGCCAGCGTCCCCTTTCACCATGTGCAGCTCCCGAGCCTTGAAGGGCAGCCAGGAGGCGTCTGCCAGGGCAGCTGTCACCTGCAGCCCCCGCAGGCGGTAAAACTCCTCCACCGGGCCGGATGCCACCAGCAGTGTCACCTTGCTGCCGCTTTGCTTCAGCTGGAGGAAACACGCATGATGCTCAGCACCACGACCAGCCCCAGCCCAGTGCCCAGCACCAGAGCTCACACACATACACACACACCTTTCGGGCCAGCTGGGTGTGCGAGCAGCTCCTGACGCTGTGCCCATTCAGCTCCAGGAGCCAAGAGCCTGATGGCACTCCAGCTCTCTCCGCCGGCCCGTCCTGCCGCACTGACAGCTGGAACGTGCCCTTGACGCCTACAAGAGGAGCAGGCTGCAGCATGCGGGGCGACGCTCCAAGTGGGGTGATGCTGCAAGCTGCCAGTGCCAGCTGCTTCCCTACCTTCTGGCCCCGACACGCTGAAACCAAAACCGCTTTTGTCCCGTGTGATGTGGCAAAGGCGCGGGCGGATGTCAGCAGGCAGCATTTGGGACAGATCTCTGCCCAACGCTTTGGCTGCTTCGTAGGAGTCGCCATCCAGCACTGCCAGCAGGACCTGGTTCCCGCTGGCCTTGATCTTCTGCACCACCTGCAAGGGACCAGGCTGCAGACCCCGAGCACGGTTCTCCTCCAGTGAGGCCGGCATCCTGCACTCCCTCTGTGCCCAGCTGGGGGTACCCAGGTGTTCCCACATTGCCAGGATGCTCGTGGCTTACCCGGTGGTGCTCCATGTGGTCCACAAAGAGGCCGTTGACCTGGAGGAGCCGATCCCCATCCTGCAGCCCCCGGCGCTGGGCCAGCCCCCCCAGCTCGACCTGCCGGATGACGTGGCCCCGGCAGCCCAGCTCCTTGTGCAGGCAGAAGCCGAAGGTCTCTGTGCTGCCCTTGCTCAGCAAGTAGAAGCGGGGTTCCCCCATGGCCTCGCCATCTGCGTGGGGACACGGCCCATGAACAGGACAGCAGAGATGCTAACAGGGCCATGGTCTCCCTGTTCCTCTATTGTAGGCATTCACCTCCCTGCAATGCCCACAGGTGACCAGAGCTGCCTGACCCCACGCTGATGGGGGAAACCCACATATTTACCCATGTCCTCAGCCAGTGACAAGGCGGGGTTGTCAATCCCATCTTTGGGGTTAAATTCAAATTTTCTGCAATGATAAAGGGTAGGAGAGGCCACATTAGAGCAGCAGCCTCATCATGTTCCCCTGCCCCCCCCACAGGAGCCCCATTCCTGCTGGGGCCACAGCTGCAGTGCCTCCTCTTCCCTAGGGGAAACCACGGAGGGATGTCACTTTGGGATTGCCCCTATAACTCTCTTGTGAAAAACATTCCTGGGACCGACAGCCATAGCCCACACCACCCCTGCACTGCCCAGCTGTAGGGCCGGGGGGGAGCACAGCACTTACATGATGGATGCTTTGTCGCCCTCGAGCCCTGCAGAGGGAGAGGAGAGGTCAGCGCAGAGGGTAGCAAGCTGGGAGCAGAGTTGGGTGCTCAGGGCTCATCTGTTCACATGGCCTGCAGGGTCTGCACAGCCCCTCAGGACTTTCGGGTGGAGGTGAGGAAAGTAACCAGGGCCCCAGAGACAGAAAAAGCAGCATTCCCCTGCACACCTCCCTCAAAAACCCTCCAACTGCACCAAACCCTTGGAGAAGGGATTCCTGCCAATGCCCCCCTTCAGCCCATCGGCATTTTCCCAGGTACCCACAGCTTTCTGTGGCTCTGACACTGTTTTGACCCATGAAGAAGCAGAGCCTGGAGACATGCACACGAGGAAGGGTCTCTGTGGGATGAAGCCCTGCAGCCCCAGCACATACCTTCCGTTTGCTTCATGGCTGCAGCGAATTCGAGAGGGAGCAAGGTACAGGGTGAAGTGGCAGGGAAGCACGGCGTCCCCGCCTTCTCCAAGACGCCCCATGTTTAATGGTTAAACAGCTCTGAGTTTCCCCTGCCCTCCCAGCCCTGGCAGTGCCAGCCCTCACCCAGCAGTGCTGGGAACTCAACCAGCACCTGGGGCTCAGGAGCAGCCCCTGGGTGTCCCACGGTGGGGAAGACGGACACCAGGAAACAAAGCGGTGCACTTTAATGCTACCAAGGGTTTCACAAGCGAACTTCAGTCCAAGCCCAGCAGACAAGTCCCTTTCACACCTGGGCTTTGTGCCATATTTCAGCCTGGCCCCACATACCCAGCACCTTCAACAGCTTCGGCAGCACCCAACCGCTGGGCATCTCCTCTGTGATAAGGGTGCTGGTGAGGCGCTGCGCACTCCAGCAGCTCAAAGGGTCCCATGCTGGAGCTTCCCCAGCATCTTCTTCACCTCACTCTCCACCCGTAGGAACTTGGCTTTCCTCCAGGGGTTGGCCGTCTGCCTCCGGCTGCTTTCCAGGTCCTGCAGGATGATGGTCAGGTGCTGACAAACCCTTTCGCGGTCCCAGAAAGGCAGATTCTTGTGCACCACGTTCAGGATGCTGGACCAGTAATCAGAGACGTCAGTGCCTGCCGTGAGGAAGACCAGTGCCCTGACGCCGTCCCGGTCCATGCGCAGGCTGTCGAGTGCCTTCTTGCCGTCCTCACTGATGTCGTTGAAATATAAACTATGGGGTAAAAGGAGATGCTGAGGGCTGGGAGGAGGGATGTGGGGCTTTCTGCTGCAGGGAGGGATGCTGGCTCACAGCGTCCCCTGCGAGGGTGAAGGAAAGGGATGGGTCGAACTCACTGCACTTTGTCCAGCGTCGCGTGCTTTTTGGCCACCTCCACCACACGCAGGGCAGCCGTGTCCGTCAGGGAGTTGTAGCCCAGGTTGAGCTCCTGGAGCTGCTGGTTCTCAGCCAGGTGCTGGGCGATCAGCTCCACACCACGGTCTCCCAGCGCAGTGTGCAGCAGAGACAGGTGGGTCAGTGAGCGGTTGCCTGCCAGCGCCTCGGCCAGGTACTGCGCCCCCTGCTCGCCTATGGGGTTGTTCCCCAGCCTGCAGGGATGTGAGCTCAGGGTGCTGCCTGCAGCGTGCAGCGGGGTTTGGGGTGAGGATGGGGCAGTACTCACCGCAGGTTGCTCACTGCACACTTGTCGTGCAGGAGCAGGTCGCGGATCTCCTTGCAGTCATCAGGGCCCAGGCTGTTGAGCTGCAGACTGGTGCAGAGCAAAGGAAAGGGATGGTGGCAGGACCGAAGCATCAGCCGTGGGGCCGTTCACCCCATCCATCCCACCACCGTCCTACCCAGGTTCCCCATACAAGGTCAACCCAAGGCTCCCTCTCCACAAGCAAGCTCACAGCAGCCACCCCAGTGAACGGGTAGCATCAGCCAGCAGAGCCAGCACCAGCAAAAGTGAGGGAGAGGAGGGGGATCCGGGTGCCGCCGGGGGGGGCTGAGGGTCTCAGGAGGGAGCAGGACCCCACTGAGCCCTCCAGAGCATCCGCAGGAAGGAAGCACCGCACAGCCCAGCCGCAAAGCTGCGTCCATCTCTGCCGAGCACGGCTCGCCACCCCCTGGGCAATGAGCAGACTGCAGGTCTACAAATCGGACCAAGACAATCTGGGCTGCGTATCTCCTGCCCCGAGCGAGCCACGAAGCGATGCTATGCGGCTCCGGGTGCTGAGCAAGGGCAGGGATCCGCATTCCAGCCTGCTGTGCCAGGCGCAGACCGCTGCCCTACGGAGGGGGCGGTGCGACTACAAGTCCCAGCGTGCAGTGCCTGAGCAGAGCTGCTGGTGGAGCACCGCATGTCGCATGTCGGAAGCTGTAGTCCCTCCCCGTGATACGCTCTGAATGTAAACAAAGGCATGGCCTGCCTTCAACGTGGCTCCTTGCATGGGCGCAGCGCCCGGGGGCAGCAGCAGGCAGTACTCACTGGAGAAACTTGCACCGCAGCAGGACGGGGAAAAGAGTCCTCAAGCTGCCGGTGTCAAGGTTGCAGGAGGTCAGATTCAGCTCCTCCACCTCGTGGCTTGTGCTGCCCATGACAGAAGCCAGAACGGAGCACTTGAGAGGAGTCATCTTGACAGAGGAGAGGTTGACGGTCCGGAGGGAGCGGATGGCCTCAGCTGTGAAGGGTTCATTCTGGAACTCGTGCAGGAAGAAGAGGTAGTCCATGAGCTCGGAGGGGGGCAGCCCTTTGCGGCTGTTCCTGATGACAGTCTTCTTCATTGCCTTGGCGATCTCAAAGGCCGCCAGGTTCTTGATGGAGCAGCCCAGCTGCTCCAGGATGGCGCGGTTCCGGCGGGACAGGATCCCACCCATGAAGATGGGGAAGAGCTCAAAGACTTCATCGTCGGCGGCCTCATCAGGGTGCCGCATGGGACCCTCCACACCCAAGATGCTGGAATTGATTTGATCCAAGACGTCGTCATTGTAGTAATCCTCCTCTTTGAACAGCTCCTCTGCCATGGTGCGGGCGATGGTGTCCCGGCCCTTCCCGCTCAGCCGCGAGAAGAAGCGAGGGAACATTTTGAGCAGGTTGAAGAGCACCGGCAGGAAGCGCAGGGGAAGAACTTTGGAGATGATGCTCAGCACCACAGCGGCATCTTCGCTCACCTTCCCGATGATCTCTGACACCTCCTTGCCCACTTTCTGCACCAGGGTCTTCTTCTCGCCCAGCACCACGTACAGGGCCGCCAGGTACTCCTGCATTGCAGGGATGGTGAAGACGAAGGTGTGCTCCTTGCCCGGCTGCACGCACGGCGTGAGGAAGAAGCGGAAGACATCACTGCGGAAGACCTCCAGCTGGTTGAGCTCACTTTCGGTCTTCATCTCCACCTCAAAGCACTGCCGCAGGTCCTCCTCTGTGAAGCTGGTTTTGCGGGACATCACCCCTTCGTGGGCCAGCTTGCCCACAGTCTTGGCCACGTATTTCATCATGGAGATTTTGGTGGGGTCAGTGCTATCCAGCACCTCCCCGCTGAAGTTGAGCCGCAGGAAGCTGGTGTAGATGCCACTCAGGGTCTGGCTGGGAGGCACCGTCCTGGTGAAGTAGAGGAAGTGCAGCGTGGTGCACACCAGCCAGCAGTAAGAGGGCAGGAAGCAGGCGGCGGCGATTTGGTTTTGGCGCTCCAGGTTCCTCGACAGCATCTCCACCAAGTTCTCCTGCTCGCCAGAGCGGCTGGCCACGTCGTTCTCCCCGTCACAGCCAGGCTGGCTGAGGCGCAGTTGGAAGTACAGCTTCTGCAGGTTGGTGTCTGAGAAGCCACAGATCTCTGCATAGCGGCCCACGTACTTACCAGGGATCCGGTGCACCGCAGATGGGCGCGTCGTGACGATGATGCTGGCCTGGAAGCAGAGGGCTGGGTGAGTTTGGAGGTGCCTTTGATCTAACCTCAGCAGGATCCCAATCCTACAACTCGTATCCAGGAGCACCCAGGAGTTGGGGTCTGAGAAGCTGCTGTCCAAAGGTTTAAACCTGGCCCAAAGGGGACAGAGGAGCTTTCCACATCCCTTTCTAGACATAAGCTGAGCTTGGAAGGCAACAACCCCACAGACTGATTCTCAGGTACTACCTTCTTTGCCTTACCAGGCCTCCCAAATATTCCCCAGCAACAAACCAACATGGAGAGTTCTGCCAGGGGTAGAAGCTACAAGTTGACTAGCAGCCAAGCTGGGCTACAAAAACTAGCACAAGGCTTTAATCTGCAATACCCCAGCAGCCACTGACCTCTGGCAGGAGGTATTTCCGCAGCAGGTTTACCACGATAGCAGAGGGAGGCAGAGGCTCATTGGCATCACAGCACAGCTCGGTGCCAGCCAGTCGGAAATCCAAGTTGAGGCGCTCCAGCCCATTGAGGATGAAAAGCACCTTGAGGTTGGAAGAGCCCAGGAGCGGCACCACGTCCCGGAGGTGCTGGTACTTCTTGATGATGAGGCGTCTCAGGGAGATGGGGACGTGACTGTAGGACAGGTCCTCACAGGAGAAGGGAATGACCAGCTCAAAGCGGGGTAGGAGACCGTGGCACCAGTCCACCACCATCTTTTTGATGAGGGTGCTCTTCCCTGTGCCCACGGTGCCGTACAGCACCACGTTCTTCACCTGTCGCCCACAGGCATCCACGTCAAAGAGATTCTGGAGGCTGATGACCTGCCTGCAGGGCTGCTGGAGCTGGTGCTGGATGGTCAGGTCAGGTGAGGGCTTCAGGATCTGCTCCAGGGAGCTCTCCCGGATCACTGGGTCCACGTGGACGGCATCTAGTGAGAAGGAAGGGCCAAACTGCCTCTCTTCGTTGGGCTGGTTGCTGAACCACGCAGACAGGCTCTTCTGGTGTTTCTTAATAGCATCTGGGAGGAAAAAGGTGTTTAGCAATACAATGTCTTCTTGCTGCCAGGAGTTTGGGAAACTCTTGGGAAAGCACAGGCAGGAGGCAGAACCCTGCACTGCCGTGGGCAGCAGCTGTGCAGGACACTCCATCCTCCTCAGCACAAGGTGGCAAGCTTACCAGATGAGGCCACGTTCCTGAGATGGTCCAGGCCATGGTGGGAGGAGCTGCGCTGGGCTCGGTTCTCCTGAGACCTTCCCTTGTACCGAACACAGCTCCTGCTAGAGGAAAGAAAGCATCAGGAGGTGGGCAGGGGCCAGCAGCCTGGAGGGCAGGGTGGGACACCACGAGGCAGTGCCAGGTAAGGGCTGAATTCAGAGTGGCAGGGAGTTGGCTCCGTGTGGTTTGCTAGTGCAGGCAAAGCAGCATCTCTGCCTACAGAGCCCCAGTGGTCCCGAGGCAGCAGCTCAGCCACCCGCATCCCACCGTACCTGGGGACAGAGATGCCACCCATGTGGAGGATCTTCCTGTGGAAGCAGCTGCCTGCAGCACCTGTGGGGATGAAGCATTCCTGCACTGATCATGGCTCAGCACCCCGCAGAGGTGACACACAGACTGTAGAGCTGAGGATGGACTTCCATCAGGGACACCTCAACCCCAGGAACAGGGTGCGTTTGGGGTCACAGCTCACCTGGCCCCGAAGCAGCACAGAGGTACACACACCGTGCTGCCCTGTGCCCGGGCTGGGACCCACACAGCCGTGTCCAGCTGCCCCAGGGCAGCCAGCCGTGGTACTGCATGGCCCAGGACATCTTCTGCCTGAAAGAGAGGGGACAGCTGAGAAGGAGCAGGGCGCTGAGGATGTCCTCACCTGTAGGGTGAGCCTACCTGCCCCCCAAAATCCACAGAACTCACTGGGGGCACGAGGGGCAGAGGAACGTTACCTCCTGGTGCACAGCCAAAAGTCATCAGCCTGGATTCAGCTATTAGCACCGCATCCCGGAGAGAAAAAGCGCTGGAGAGGAAGGAGCTCGACTTTTTAAAAGCTTTATAGCGAAACAGCGCCAAGCCCAGCTCCCCCCCGTCCTCCTGCAGCTGCAGACGAGGGGCTGAGCAGCTCGGGAGGATCCCGAGGGCGACCGGAGGACGCGCTGCCCTCCCAACCTCCCACTGCAGGACGGGGCCGAACCGCCGCCGACTCATGCGCTGCACGCCCGGCTTGAAGGGAAACTGAGGGACGGGGGGGGGGGGGGGGGGGGGGGGGGGGTGGGGAAGGGGGTGAGAAAACTCCAGGAAACGCGCAGGAAACGATGAGCCAAGCAGAGGCCGAGCTGGGCTCGCACCGCGCTGCTTTCTGCCATCCTCGCCTTACCCGGCTCCCAGCCCTCCCTCTGCTCCGCCGCCACCTTCCGCCGCCTTCCCCGGGGTTCCGGTTGGGGCAGCGCGGCCCCGTTTCGCTTCCCTGAGTCGGGAAGGGCTACGAGGCGGCGGTGACTTCCTGCAGCACCGGCACGGCACGGCCGGGAGCAGCGCCGCACCCGTGCGTCCAGCCACGTATCCACGGGCCCGAGGGCAGAGCTGCTTTTGTAACAGCGGGAGGTGGTGCCGAAAGCTGGGCTGCTGCCGGGGGAGAACAGCCCGTGCTCGCAGCGTGGCGCATCCCTCTGCATCCCGGCACCCAGCAGCACGCAGCCATCCCAGCATCCCGACACACGCGGACCCCGCGCCCACTCGGGAGGAAGCGAAGGGTGCGCTATAAATATAAGTTTTATTGATGTGTGAAATCCACCAAGTACAGCTGGCAGCTCGGAAACGCCGGTACGAGTTGCGACCCCTCCACCTGTATGGCAACCCTCCGGCCACCATGAGTGCTGCTCACAAGCCAGGAACCCCCCCTCCCCACACACAGGGCACTCACCTGCAGACAGCGCTGCTCCCCAAACAGCCCAGGTCCCTCCCATAGGCCTGGCCACACCTCTGCAGGGCAGCGATGCATCCCCATTGCAAGGCAGCAGGTCCCACCGCTGGCAAAGCCCTCGCACCGCAGAGCCGCAGCCCCGTGAGCAATCTCCGTCGTGCTCTGAGCTGCCGTCTGCATGTTATTTTGGTAACGGCTCACCCCGACCACACGTGCACACCCCAGCACAGCACAACCACACACAGCACATGGCGGCAGGGAGGCGGCAGGAGACCCCCAGCAGGACAGGATGGATGGTGTCCACACACAGCGAGAATGAAACACTGCTTTATTGCCTGCTTGGGGTGGGTGAGACCCTGCAGGCAGATCTTTACCCCCTGTGCTGCCCTGCTGTCCCTTCCAAAAACCCCTGCACACAGGGCGAGGATGCTTTTGCTTCACTTGTGAATGTGACAAAGGTGACCCAGACATGCGTGGAGGGGAGAGGCCGAGTCCCTGTGTGCCTGGCAGCATGCTGGTGTTCACAGCACACCTACGCCAGCAGCACCCACCCCAGCTGAGCCTTTGGGCCTGAATCGGTTCAAGATGGGCTGAGGTTCAGCTGCTGCCCTCAGAGAGCTGCAAGCCACAGCTCAAACCTCATCCTAATGCACTCAAAGTGCATTGCATGGGAAGGGATAGGGCGGGAAGGGAGAGGAGGTGGAGGGGAAGAAGCCTGCTCTCCTCCGTCACACTCCTCGTGATTATCCAGACGCGTTCCCTGGAGGGGTGCCTGCAGCCAGAAGCACCCAGAGTTCCACTCCCCCGCTCCAATAAAGTGCATCCTCACTGCACACATCCTGGACAGGGCAAAAATCGGCACGGATCTCCCTTGACCTCACGCTGCAATGCAAGAGCAGCAGAAGTGGGGCACTGAAGTAGCCCAACAGCCCCACAGACTGATGAGATGGAGATGGGGGACAGCCAGCAGCTCTGCCATTCCCTGGTGGCACAGCAGATGTGGGGCCTGCTCCCCGTGTCTCCCTGGCTGGAGGTGGCAGCAGTGTTCCCATCCCCTGCCCAGCACAGCGCAGGGATAGGGAAGGTGGATCTGGGAGCAGAGGGGAATTTTGTCAGTAAGTCAGCCGAGATCCCCTGGGGAAACCCCAATGCTCAGCACTGGAAGAGCATCAGGGCACGTCCTGCTTCCAGAGCCTTTATGCACGAGCTCTTCACATCCATGCAGGGGAAACCCAGCCCCGCTGCAGCAGTACCTCCATCTCTGCCCTCCAGCCAGCCCCTGCAGTGCAGAGCAAACCAGGAAAAGTGAAGAAGAGTTCAGAGGATATTGCTGCAACCTGTCCTTCTCTCTGCAGTCCAATCCCCTGCTGGGTCCATGCTCACCAGCAGGCAGTGGGCTCCGGTAGCACCCATGCAGCCCCATGACAGCAGTGCCAGCATGCTGTCCCCACCAGCTCCACTCCTTTGAAAAGCCAACAAGGTGCTAAAATGCCCTGAGGGGTGCAGAGCTTGGGAGGAACCACCAAAAGACGCTTTCTCCTGGTACCAGACCCAGCATCAGGGCGGCTCAATGCAAACCAACTGCTGCCAGATCTCACCTGCCTTCCAGCTCCGGCACCACTGGGACCCACTTGTCCATGCTCTTACCCACCAGTCCTGCTGCAGTGGGTGGGTGCCCACAGCCTTCATCTCCTCCCTGCAGGCAGCACACGGGTGTTGCTGAGGGAGGGTCATTCCCATCCTGCGTGGTTGTGCTGGGGAAAGGGAACAAGAGGCCAGCAGAGCTCCACTGACAGCACAGTTCTCCACGCTGGGTTTGATGGGACGGTCGCTTCTCTTTGTATCGATCGCTTTTATCTTCTTGGCTCAGATCCCAAAGACTGAACGTGACACCCCCTGAGGTCTGAGAGCACTGTCCCACTCCCACAGACACTGCTGTGTCCCCAGGTAGCAGAGGCCAGCCCTGAGGATGGCACTGAGCAGCAGCTCAGGAGAGCCCCGAGTCCTCTGCCCGCTGCTCCCATTCCTCTCCTTGCGGACTGAAAGCAGCGGGGTTTCAAAATTAAATTCAAAATTAAAAAGGAGGAAAAAGAAATAAAAAGAAGAAGAAGGGAAAAAAAAAAAAAAAGAAGTAAAGTGAGGATTGAAGCAGAAAGGAAAAGGGGAGGCAGCAATCTGTGGCTGCAGCAGCAGGAAACGCAGAAGCCTTGTGCGACTTGGTGGCTTGGGGCTCTTCTCTATGCGATGGCTCTGTGTGTGTCCCCACGGGGCTCGGACCCCCGGCGCCTCTCCTTCTCCTGCCTGGAGCTCCCCACAGCCTCACTCTGCCTCCTTGGGACCATCCCTGCTATCCCCCATAGGCAGGCAGGTTGAGTGAAGGGATGCAGCTCCGTGGGGGTGAGGCAGAACCGGGGGACGCGTGGTGGGGCTGTACAAAACGTTTGCCATGAAGAGAGCGTGGAAAGGTTAAAACAGTTCCGAGATGTCTCAAAACCCTTCTCGACTGAGCCAGGCCTGGCTGGCACCTACCAACATGGTCCATGGCTGCCATGCAGCAGCTCAGGCCCGGGGGGGCAGCTCTGGGGTCCCGTGGCCCCTTTATCTCTCCGACTTGACCTTGTACCTGAGCACCAGGTACGCCAGGAGCCGCAGGATGACAAAGAAGATGCCCAGGATGAGGAAGTCCAGGTAGAGCTTGGCCTCCTCCACGTCCAGTTCCTGCAGGATCTTGATGGGTTTTTGGAAAGGGCAGAAGTCCTCGAGGCACTCCAGGTCCTCACGCTCCATGGCGTAGATGGTGAGGATGACGCCTTCAAAACCATACCTATGGCAAAGCAGAGTCACAGCGTGCCCCACACAGCCCCACTCCCACCCCACAGACAGAGTGTGCGGTCCCACCTGACGTAGGAGACATAGGAGCTCCACTGCAGGTAGGTGGGAATGGTCTTGAAGCTGACAAAGAAGCCCGAGAAGAGCAGGACGGGGATGGCGGTGACGGGTCCCACAAAGGTGGCTACCTATGGAGCAGAGGTCATTGGGTGCCACATCCCCCTTTGTGCCCCATGGCACTCCCCATATGTGGTTCTTTGGGACACCCACGTCCACACCGCGGGCAAAGCCTGACCTGCAGGGAGGTGGAAGCAGCTCCAATGAGAAGCCCGAGGGATTGGGCCACCAAAGCAGTGGCGGTGGCCAGGGCAGAGAAGAGGAGGAAGCGCGTGGCCTCGGGCGGCTGGCCTGTCATCCAGTACACGATGCTGCAGTAGGCAATGGGGCAGATCACCTGGGGAGGGGGGAGCAGAGTTACACACTGGACCCGTGGCTGCTCTGGTCCCATAGACCCTCCCCAGGGGTGGAGAGTTCAAGGAACCCACCCAGGGCATTGGAAACTGGCCGTGCCAAGGGGCCGACGCTCACCTGGAAGGGCACATCTGCCATGGTCTTGGCCAGATAATAGGCTTTCAGGCTGTACCAATAGTTCAGGTGCTCTCGCAGGAATACAGACATCTCCTGGGGGACTGTGGGGAAGCAAGGAAGGAGTCAGCAGTGCCCCAGGCCAGTGCACCCTGCAGCCTCCTGCCCACGGGTGGGAGCTTCACCAGGGACAGAAACTGAGAAGGGAACCTTCACATGGACAAGTCAGCTCAGCCAGGGGGGTTTTGCTCAGGCTTCTTGAGGAAGTGAAAGGGAGATCTGAAGCAGCTGAAAACGCAGCTGTGCAGACAGTTTCTCAGCAAAATAAGTAAATAGATAAATTCCAGTGCACTGCTTAGAGCCATTCGGTGAACAATGGCAATAACTGAACCAGACAGTAAACAAATGGCAACCGGGGGGATTTACTCCACACGATGCAAACACTTCCACCCTTCTCTTTGTATCCTTTCCGTCTCTATCCTACTGCCCCACTTTGGACCAACTCAGCTGTCTCCACCATACAGCACCCATTGGAGCCCTCCCACAGACACAACCCCCCCTGCACACCCAGGGGTGGGAGCAATGGGGCAAGGAGCTCCTTACAGGTGAGGATGGTGGGCATCAGTGCAGCAAACATGAGGAAGAGCATGGAGAAGAAGAGGAAGCCAGTGTTGTTGAAGACTTTGCCGGCGTCGTTGCCGATGTGCAGGTAGAGCAGCCCGATCAGCACCCCGATGCAGATGTGGGACATGAAGCGCAGGTGGGTCAGCACCTATGGGTGGGCAGAGGGGATCATGAGGCAGGACCACGTCCCTTGAGCATCCCGGAGAAGGGTGAGCCCCACTCAGCTCTGCTTGCCCCCAGCAAATAGCTCCCATCCCTTTAGCGTTGGCTCAGCCCTCACCGTGTCCCTCAGGATGCAGATAAAGGTTCTCTTGAAGAGGATGCAGAACTGGGTGGAGGTACTGGTGGCGAATGTGTGGCTCTCGATGTGGTCCACATCCTGCAAAGGGATGTTCAAAGTCAGAGATGTGGGTGAGGGACAGGGATCACCTCCCACGTGGCGTCCCCTCTTGGGCTCTCACTGTCACACAATGAGCCGGGCACGATGAGTCCGCCTTGTTGGGGCTGCTCTTCTTCTCTGCCATGGTGCACATGCCGTTCTGCACAGCACGGAACAGGACAGGGTTGAGGTCCCCATACTCTCCTGAGGCCACCTCGATAACTGCGGAGCACAAGAGCAGCACTGAGCCAGCCCTCACCATCACACAGCTCAGGTCACCCAGGTTCCCCAAGGTCAGGGGGTGGGAGCCCAGTGCAGCCCTCACCCCACAGTGCCACACACCCACAGCACAGCACCCAATGGGGGGACATGAGTTTGGACCTCGCCACGTGGGTTTGGACCTCGCCACCCTCCTTCCCCAACACTGCTGAGCTGAGGAGGGGCCACTCACTGAAGTCAGCGGGGTTGTGGTACGTGGGGCAATGGAGCCCAAGGCCCTTCAGGTAAGGGATGAGGTTGGTCACGACGCCTTTGAAGATGCACTGGCCCTGGCTAAGGATGTAGAGCTGTAAGAGAAATCAGCGATAGGGCAGGTGCAGAGCAGCCAGGGCGCCACTGCTTGCTCCAGATCCCGTCGTCAGGGCTGTGAACCACACGAGCCCAGGCCAGCTGCCTGCACCAGCCCTTCCCACGGCCTCTCTGCATGGTCAGAATGACCTGCCCCCAAGAGAGCCCTGTGCTCCAGCCCAAACCTTGTCAAACATCTCGAAGAGCTTGGCGCTGGGCTGGTGGATGGTGCAGATGATGGTGCGGCCGCCCTGAGCCAGGGAACGCATCAGGGAGACGACCTGGAAGCAGGAGGCACTGTCCAGACCACTGCAGGATGGGGCAGAGGAGAAAAAGATGGCAAAGAGAGAAGGAGAGAGTTGAGAAAGGGAGAAGAAAATCTCCAAGACACCTCCACCACCAAGTGGGCACCTTGCGTGATGGAGGAGAACATCCCTTTGCAGCCCCAGCCCTGTTGTCCTCCAGTCCCTTCGGTGTCCCACAGCCCCTCTTGGATCCAAAGGGCTCTGGTCCCCCCGGTGTCCCCCAGTGGTGGGGAGCTCCTGCACTCTCACCTGGTGGGCTCATCGAAGAACATGACTGGAGGATTGTTCACCAGCTCCAAGGCGATGGCCAGGCGCTTGCGCTGCCCACCCGACAGCGAGATGGTGCGGGTGTAGGAGCATTCCAGCAGCCCCAGGGCCGTCAGGATCTCATTGACCTGAGGGATGGAGCCTCGTTCACCATGAGCTCCCATGGACCCTCACCTTTTCCCCCCATCACCTGCTCCCACGTCCCCATTACTGAGGGTCCACAGTTCCTTCCCTTCTCCGCTGTTTCCACCTTAGAACAAGACAAGGGGCCCTGAACTCACATTCCTCTTCACTTACCAGCTCTTTCTTCACCTCCTGCTTCTCGCTCAGCTTCAGGTTAGCAGAGACCTGCAGGGAGAAGATGAACAGGGAGATCAAAGCAGCATAAAGTGGCTTGGGTCGAAAGGGACCTCAAGGATCATCAAGCTCCAACCTCCCTGCTGCATGCAGGGCTACCAACCTTCATATCTATCTAGACCAGGCTGCCCAGGGCCCCATCCAACCTGGGCTTGAACACCTCCAATGGGAGCATCGTATTAGGTATTGCACTCATCTCCAGCTTTGTGATACAAGAGCAAGGGCAGGACTTCATCCCCACATCCCACAGCTCTTGGGAAGCTCCCACTTGAGGATGCAGCCGCCCCAGGAAACCCTGCAGCCCCGCTCACCATCATGGCCTCCAGCACGGTGAGGTGTGGCAGCAGCATGTCATCCTGCATGATGTAACAGGACATCTTGCGAAAGGTGCGCAGGTCCCTCGGCCGCCCGTTCACCAGGATCTGACCCTTCATACCCGTCTCCCTACAGGACAGAGAGGATAGAACACAGCCCCCAGCCTCGCTCCCCCAGCTCCTCCTCCAGCCCCACCTGTAGCCAGCCAGGATGTTCATCAGCGTGGATTTGCCGGCACCCGATGGCCCCATGATGCCAATGAGCTCTCGCTGGCAGAACTTCCCTGACAGGCATTTGAGGAGGGTCTTGTAGCCTGGAGGGAGAGAGCAGAATGGTGGGATTGCAATGAGACCCCGGCACCTGGGGGGCTGTGGGACCACCATGTGCTGCGCCAAGGGACCACCTCTACCAGCATCATCATGGCTGTCACCCCCCAGTACAACCTTTGTCCCTGCTTCCCCATTAGCTCATCCATTTCCAATGCAGACAAGATCAGAAAACCCCTGGGACACAGCATAAGGAAGGCCACCAGGCTGTGGCATTGCCCTGGTCCCCAGGCAGCAAGGAGCAGGGTGCCATGGGGCAGAAGATGCCTGGCTGCTGCCTTCATTGGTATTCATGCCGTGACACTCGGCAGCAGCCACTGCTAATCAGACCTGGAATTATCTCTGCTTTAAAGGCAGCTGATTAGCATTTTCTGGCAGCAGGAACACAATGTGTCGGGAGCACGGAACAGGCACAGCCTCAGGCTGTCAGAAACTGCCCTGAAACACAGCCCTGCCTGGGGAGCTGTGGTTTGCAGGGTACCACAGGTCTGAGCATCTCCCTGCTAGAAATATATCCCCTTGCCCCATGGCATCAGCTGGCATCGGGTGAGGACAACGCATCCATCCCATACCCACAAACCGGGGCGAGCCTAAGGATCAGGGCAGCGAAAGAAGCAGGAGGAGATAGAAGGGGATACGAGGGGAAGGGATCCAGCACCGTGATCTTCCTGTACCCCAGCAGCACCCGTTGGGATCAGGCACCCCCAGGAGAAGGGCCCTGGGGGTTGGGAGGCGCGAGCAGGATGCTGTGTGACGGCAGCAGGGTGAGCGCGGCGCACAGCCCGGCAGCGCATGCTGCTCACGTCGGTGCCACTGCAGCTTGCGCAGCGGTTACTCGCGTTCATTGACTGCCAGTAACCTCCTGCTTCAGCAACGCGCGGCAGCACGGCCGGATCCTGCACAAAGGCACCTGGAGCTCCACACCAGCTCCTGTGTGCCGTCCAGGGGAGAAGAGAGTTCCCGCTGTGCAACCCCACAGTCCCAGCTCCAGCTGCCCCAAGTCTGTCCCCACCACAGTGCGTGCAAACACTCCTTAGTGCCAGCCTCCATCTTTTGCTTCCCAGCATCTAAGGAGGCAGAGCTCAATCTGGGGGCTTTGGGTTGGTCCTGCTGTCCGTCGGTGCCTCAGCTTCCCCAGCTGCAAAGCTTAGCTGGGAGCAGCAGGGACCCCACACCCTCAACCAGCTCATCCCAGGACCCTGCTCATTCCCCCCTCACCTCACAGGGCCATCCTGATTAGCATCCCATTAACTAACAGGGCTAATTAAAGCTGACTACCACCCATCAGCTGCCATCTGCCTCCCCTCCCTAAGCTGTCGGCTGCAGTCGCAAACAGGGAGCTGCCAAAGAGGAAACCCCCTGCAAGCCCAGCACCCCCCTGCACACCAGGGCACCCCTTGGGGCCTCCTACTGCCAGCACAGCAGCACTAAGAAAACCCATCCATCTTGTCAGCCCCAAGCCAAGCAACAGCCCTGCCTGCCCCATACAACCTCTGGGATGGGATCTGCTTTTGGGGATCACAGGGCTGGGTGGCCACAGGGGACAGCAGGGTGAGCAGCTCCGGAATTTCCCACTACTGTGCACTCAGACAAAATCCTGCAGAGCTGTGAGACGGCTGCCTGCATCAGCAAAGAGGGATGGACCCAGGGCAGGAGGTGTGGGAGAGATGAGAGGAGACCGGAGGGGAGATGTGGCAGCCTCAGGGGTCCCCAGTCCTACAGGCATCTCCTACCTCTCTTCCTCCACCAGGAGCCCTCGCGCACAGAGTAGGACAGGTCAATGAACTCGATGTTGACAGCCGAGCGTTTCGGGAGGTGGGAAAACCTCTGGGCCTCTGTGATGTGGTTCTCCACCTTCTTCAAGTGGGTGGTGAGGAGCGGGGCGTCCGGGGGGCCGGCGTGGCAAACCGTGTCCTCCAGGGCGATGGAGACGCACGCAGGATCCATGCCTTTCTCTGCCATCGTGCTGCTCTGGAGGGAATAAGCAGGGATGGACCCACTCGATCTTTGGCACGAGGGCTCTGCAGAGCTGGGGGAACGCTGAGCCAGGCGGGGTGGGAAACACGCTGCACCCCAAAGCCTCTGCAGCATCCCAGATGAGGTTGGGGCTAGGGGTCCCTCATTGTGCTGAGGACAGGAGGCTGAGCCGTGCCCTGCTGAGCTCAGCACCCCTCCTCCCCTGCAGGGCCGGGGTCCTAATGCCGTGCTAACCTACATTTTGCTGAGCCGCAGGCTGCAGGCAGCTCCTCGCCGCAGCTGCAATGCACACACACAATCCCCTGGAAGGGGAGGATGGCCTCGCGAGGAGCTGCGCCGAGATCTTCCCAGCCCTCTCCCCGATGCAGACAGATCTCTTTCAGGGCTGGAAAACAGCCAGCCTCGGCCCTGGGGGGAGAAAAGGGGCGAGCGAGGGCTGCGTGATCCCATCACCCCCACTCCCTCTGAACGCTTTAGGTTCCCCCTTCCTACAGACACAGGGCATATGGCCAGCAGAACGGGGGGCTGCGGGAGCCACAGACCGCCCTCGGGCTCACCTTGACTCCTCGAGCCGCTCCCCATCCCACCCCACCCCACTGGCGAGGGCATCTCCTCCGGGGCCGCTCTTCCTCCATCCCCTCTCCATCCGCCGGACCCCAACCCCTCGGACCCTCCCCACGCTCACCTGTACGAGCTCGGGCTCCGCTCCCCGCCGCCTCCGCCGCTCCGCGCACTGCCGCAGCGCCGCCGCCGCTCCCTCCACCCCCCTGCGGACAAAGGGGCGATGCCCGCGGCGGGGCCGAGCGCCCGCAGCCCCCGGTGCGCACCGATGGACCGCAGGGGAGGAGAACGGGCGGCGGCCGCTGCTCAGTGCCGCTCCCCGGGCTTAGCGCTGCCCCCGCGGGTCCCCAGCCGGGATGCGCTCCCCATCCCTCTGTAGGGCTGGGCTGGGCAGGGCAGGGCGGCGAGGTGGGAGGACCGGTTCCGCGCAGTTATCCGCTCCCGTATTGGCGCCCCGGACCCGTCGGTGCCCCCCACCGCCGGCGCTGCCTCGGCTGCCGCCGTGTGTCGGGACGGTGGGAATTGGCTGCCCGGGCGGCGCTGCCAGGCGGCGAAAAACCCTCTTAAAGGAACCGGCTTTATTTCCTTTCCCCGCTCCGCTCTGCGTGTCATGCAGAAGGCCCCGAGCATCTCCCGGCTGCAAAGCTTGGGATTTGGCAGCCCCCGTTCTTCCGTCCCCACCGCCGCACCTCTGACACAGCAGAGAGCCCACGGCCCCACAGCCCACTCCCAGGGCTCACCCAGCCCCACACTGAGCAACCTTTGCATTGCATTGCATTGCACCCGACAGCCTCCACCCCAGGACACAAGCAGGATGCAACGATGGCAGAGCACTGCTCAGAAAGCTCACAGCAAGCATCGAGGGCCAGAGGGCACAGCTGCCCACCCCAGGGTCCTGGTGGGAGGGTGCCAACCCCGCAGCTTGCCCCCAGCACACACTCCCCTGCACGCTGTCACTGTGCTGCACCTGGCTCCCTCCTCGCTGTCGCTCACACCTCTCACCCACCACAGCACTTAAACATGAAAGCCATATGGAAATGAGTGACACTAACAACAGTATTAATTAAAATACCCATCTGGTGAGCTAAGGAAATCTTTCCTCTCTCACAGCGGGATCAGGGCTGGGACAGAGCTGGGGGCAGGGATCCAGCCCTTTAGGAATGAGATTCAGGCAGAGGGTGCAACATCAGATTCAGCCCCACACCGAGGCCTGCAGTCAGTTCCTTGCGGAGCAGGAGAGGTGCTGGGCTCATCCCAAAGCCATTTCAAGCATGCTGCCTCCTGACCTAGGCCGCTCACAGCTGGAGCTGAGAGAGCAGCTGCCCTCTCTGTGTGGGGCTGTGGGGATGGAGCAGGCAGCAGAACCTCCATGCATAACTGCAAATCTGTGTCATTGCCTGTAAACAATTTTTTTAATTACCCACAGTGGTGGTGATGCAGGGCCCGTTTCCCCTGCTGATCCCATTACACATGCTCCTGCCCCTCTTCCTCCCCAGGGAATGACAATTTTGGTTCTTCCATTGCTGCTTCAGAGGGATCCAGGGTGTACCTGCGGAGCAGGTGGCACCCAGAGACCATCACAACAGTGGGACACGAGGGCACATGGGACAGAATGAAGGGCTCAGGGCTGGGATCCCAGGGAACCCAGGAGCAAGGAGGGGTCTTGTGTCCTTACCTGTTCTGGCTGCAAGGCATCAGCTACCCTGAGATGTCCGTGGGGAGGATTGGGGGGGGGGGGGGTTAGAGCAAATCACACACTGCAGGAAGGAGCAGCCCCAGCCTGCAGGCACCATGCATAGCAGCCCCCACACCCTGCCTGCACAGATGGAGCAGCAGGACAGCCCTGCTGCCTGCACACAGGGGCAGGAAATAACTAGCAGAGGGAAATGGCAGCCTGCAGGACAGGCAAAGTGCTGCCTGCCTGCTAGAAGAGGATGTGAGCCTTCTCCAGGGAGCAGCCAGCAGAAGATGCGGTGGTCTCCAAGTCCTCAATGCAGCTGCCCTGCTCCTGCTGCCCACAGCATTCCCTGCATGCCATGTGATGTGGCCAGGCAGAAAGGCAGCAAGTCCCAAAACTCTTCTCCCAGATGACAGCTTCAAGATGGATGGAAATTATGGAAAGGAAGAACCCAGCACCGGAAATGTGTGGCCAGCAGACCTAAGTGGAGAAGGCTCAGCTCTGCCAGGAGAATCTGTAAGGAGAGCAGAGATGCTGAGCTGCTCAGCAGCCCCCAGCTTGCAGCCACCCCTTCCCTAAGGGCAGTATCAGCCCCTCACCGGAGGTGGGCGCCGCTACTGGGTCTCCCCGCAGGGCACGTGGCAGTCGCACTCGCAGACGTCGCAGCGCAGGAACCAGCGCACCCAGCCCGAGCGTTTGGTGCTGCAGGAGGAGATCTTGATGCAGCCGTGGTGCAGGGAGGCTCCCAGGTGGTTCTGGGTGCTGCAGGATGACGAGCAGCTCCCGCTGATGTCCCGCTCGCTGATCTCGATCCGGCCTCGCAGGCAGATCCCTGCAGGAGCAGGTCTGGAGCACGTCCCCGGTGTATCCACCAGCCCCTTTTTCCCCCATGGTGGGCTGCTGGGACAGCAACAGCCATCCCACCCCACGGTACTCACGGAGGCAGGTGGGCTTGGGCGTCCAGCGGCCGTCAGACTGGCAGGCGCTGGCCGGGTCCCCCAGCAGCATGAAGCCGGGCCGGCAGCTGTAGCGCACCACAGAGCCCACCCACCAGTCATTGCCATGCACCACTGAGTTGAAGTCCGCCTCGGGCCTCCCGCAGTTCACTGGGGATGGGGAGGTTCCCGTGGGCAGGCGGCTCGGTGGGACACGCGTGGATGGGAATGGGAACCAAACCTGCTCCATGCACTCCCAGAGCCCCTGAGTGGCCGTACCTCGGCAGAAGGATTTGTAGCCCAGCCAGCAGCAGCTGCCGTTCCCACACTGGCTCCTCTTCAGCTCCTTATGCTTCCCCTTGCAGCCCCCCCATGCAGATGGGTGCAGTGCCGGACCAGTAGGTATCCAGGTCTCCTGGTGCCATGGGAGCAAGGCTTGGGGCTGAGGACCACTCGTTCCAGCAGCTCCTCAGCCCTGAGCCCTGCTGTAGGTGGTGCCCAAAGGCTCAGCCACAAGCCCTGCTGCAGCGAGGAGCACATCCACATCCCCCAGCTCCGGCTTCTCCAGCACCAAGCTCCGGCACGGGGCCTTACTCCTTGCTGTGTCAGCAGCCCTAGGGCACCCCGTAAGCAACCCTTCTCCCAAACACCCTGTTACCTTCTGGGTGCTCAGAGCAGACCAGCGTGGCCAGCATGGTGAGGAAGAGGAGACCCAGCCCCATAGTGCAAGCACTGCTCTCCTCCCCTCACCCCCAATCACTGCCAAGGAGAAAGTGAACTTGGTTTCCATACACAGCACAACATGCTGTAGGGCCCAGGAGAGGGAGGAGACTCCTTTTGATGCCAATCCTCTCCCCATGAGATAATCCCTGGCAGATTACCCTCTCTGGACCCAGTGTTTAAAGGGACAACTCTTCTCAGCCACCACTCCACTCCCAACACCAAACACTTGGGTAACACAGGAATGCTGCAGCTTCAGAGCAGCGGCTTTGGCAGCAGAGCTCGTGTGTTGGAAAGGGAGCCAAGATGGAAGTGCTGCGAATGCAAACTTGGCACGAGTTCCTTCTCTCCAAGGTATCTGCAGCCCAGCTCAGCCAAGCAACAGTGAGCAGGCGCCGAGCAGGGAAGGCTGGGCAAGGCCAGGGCACACTGCATGCTGGTAGCCCAGGGATGCTCTCATAAAAGAAAGCAGCATCTTCTGACAGTGCATGCCATCAGAGCTGCTGGGGCAACAGCTGCCTCCTGCCCTGCCTCAGTCTAAGCACAAGTGGCCTGGCTCCATATGCATTTCACCAATCCAAGGAAGGCATCTTGCTTACAAACCTGTGTGTAGCCCCAGAAGGCTTTCCTATTCAGTCTGGGGGCAGGGAGCTCTCCCCACTTCAACTCTGCTCCTCATCTCAACCAGGGCACAGGCCCGAGGGGCTGCTCTCATCACTCCTGGCCAAGGGCACTAACATGGATCACACCCACAGTGCTTGTAATTAGAAAGCGAGCAGATGGCCAAGGCTTCAGCATAAAGTGATTTTCTCCATTAACCTGGAATTCCAGCAGCTTTTGCCAAACTGCTCGAGGAAGAGAGGGGAAAAGTCAACCAGGTTGCCTTCCTGCCTCCATCAGGGCACATCACTTCCACACGCAGCTTCGTGAGGATCCAAGGGTCACTCCAGCTTCGCACTGCCCATATCATGTACAAAAGAGGAAGCTGGCTCAGCTCATTAGATCAGGCTACTCTTTAGATTCAGAAGAAATAAACAAACAAACCACAATCACTGCAGGCAGCTGACACTGATGGCCAGAAGGAGGCAGCAAAAATTCAAATCCATGCCAGGACAGCAACCAGCCTAAGCTAAACCTGGCCTTCCAGTGACACCGCTGGGGACATGGAACTGCATGCCCCAAGCAGGAAGCAGCTGCACCAAGCAGCAGCACACAGCATGTGCCAATAGATCCTGGCAGCTCTGCAGTGCTCGCCCCATGCTGCAGGCCCTAGGCAACTTGGCCCCACCATGGCACCACAGCATCCCTCGGCTGGCAGGAATGTGGCTGAAACAGACACCAGATGCTGGCTGGCCTGGCAGTCTGACCTTTATTTGGCTCTCCAAAGTACACTTTGCCCAACCAGGAGCCCAAACCCCAACGTGGGGAGCAAACTCAAGGAAAAACAAAAGCAGGAAGGCCCCAAGCCCCCCACGCTGCAAGGTCCAGTGCCTTCCTGCAGTCCTCTCCTCCCATTGAGATCAATGCAGTGAAATGGGAACGGCAGTGCAAACACCTCTGACAACACTGGCTGATCATCAGGGAAGATGATGTTCAGGAAAGCACTGAAGGCAGAAAAGGAACATGCCATCCCATGGAGAACAAGTTATGGGGGAGGCAGAGGAGAAAGCTAGCCATCTGCATGCAGAGGACACACTGGACCCTTCCCCTCTGCACATCTCCCAACCTCTCCCTGCACCATGTCCCACAGAAGCCCAAGGTTTTCAGGTTAGCACCTCACACAATATGGATACCCAGCTCTTCAGCTGTCTTCTGCAGACGGTCCATGACATTCTCCTCCAGCTCCATAGCCAGCCCGCTGGCTGCTGCTGCCCGCTCCTCTGACAGCGTGCTGGCCATGATGTAATACACAGTCTCACTCTCCCCGTGCTCGTTGGTCCGGTTCACCACACGGATGATGGGGTTGGCCGGGGTGCTGGGCTCCTGCTCTGAGGGCTGCACTGCTCCTGGGAAGGTACTGGGCTGTGCTTGCTCAGAGCTGGCTGCAGGATGCAGCAGGGCCGCGTGTGGCTCGGACACGTTGCTCTCCACAGAGGGAACCTCTGTTGGAGCCTCCAGAATGATGCCCTGCAGGTTGCCCTCACCTTCAGACAGCACCACACCGTCAGTGGAGCCATCCAGAGCCTCCTCCTGTTTCTCTCCATCCTTCAATAGCTGCTCCGTCAGCTCCACGCTCTCATAGCGCACCAGCTGCAGCCTCATGTAGCCATCCTCATGTTCCTTGTACCTGAACACAGGCCCAAAGAAAAGGGCAACAACCTGAAGCAGCAGCCAAGGAAAAGGCACTGTATTCTGGGCTCCAAAGCCCAGCACTACAAACCCAACACCAGACAAGCAAAGTAAAACCCTAAAAAGCACACCCATGGAGCAGCGTCTGAGAATCCAGCCAAGCCTTTGTCATCTTTCAACTCCATCTCCTTTCCCCATTCTGTTTTACCAGGAGCATTTGAGATTCACCCTCTCCCCCTCCCTGCTTTTAGGTTCTGGAAACTCTTTGGGAATTTCCTAGAGATGATGCAGAAAAACATCTGTCAGGAGACTGATCTGCAGCAGCTCTTTCTAAGCAGTACACCTGGACCCAGCTCCTGCCAAACTCTGAGTTGTATCACGAGATGCAGCTGCGAAGGCACTGCTGCCTGATCTCTGACCCACTGCTGGAGCTGCTGTGCAGCACTGCTCCGTGGCTGTGTCAGATCCCAACAAATGGCTGTTTCCAAGTGTTTCCCAGCCACTGGGAGATGAGCCTTGAGCATACTGCAGGCAAACACCAGGGCCCAAGCACTGCCATGTTTCTATTGGCTCCAGCAAGAAGCAGGATGTGGTTCCAGCTGCTACAACAGAGGGTGTGAGGAGCTAAGGATGAGCAGTACCTGAAGCGAGGATGCCCCGAAGGCCATTTGAACTGGTGCTTCTTCCTGAGGTGGACAGTAAGGTTGTTTCCACGTGTGAAGCTCTTGTCACAGACATGGCACTTATAGCGGGGCTCTGAGTCACCCTGAAAGGCAGAGAGGAATATGAACACCTTGCAAGACTGATCAGAAGGGCTGGCACCCATGTAACAGAAGAAAGAACTGGGTTCTCTGAGACTAACACAAGCTGTCATTGCAGCAAGAAGAAAGGAATACAATCTGAGCTCACATTCCTACAGCCTTGACCAGCCTGGGGCTCTTTGTGCAACTTCATTTTTTTCTCCTCATGCTTCTGCAGACCAGGCTGCATTTAGAGCTTCTCAGCCTCGCCACAAGAGATTACACACACAGTCACCCTCTGCTGCCTTCCTACCTCGTGGACTTTCCGGTAGTGCAGTTTGATGGAGCAGAGGGAACGTGCAGTGAAGCTGCAAGCCTCAAACTCGCAGCGGTAGGCAGGCTCTTTGCTGTGTGTATCCAGATGTTTCCTCAAGTCAATGAGATTCTTGCACCTAAGAGGAAAGAGGTGAACAAAGCTGAGTGCTGTGCACCACACACGTGCTTCTCTGCCAACAGTAAGGGAAGACAGAAAGCCCCGTTCCTCACCTGTAGTCACAGTAGTCACATTTGAATGGCCGTTCTTCACTGTGCCGAAAACGGATGTGATTGCGCAGGGAGGAGGGCAGTGGGCAGGTCATGTCACACAGAGGGCACTTATAATGGTTCACTGTGGGAAACAGTTGGGAGAAAACATCACCACAGAGCGGGGGGATGCAGACTTGAGAGCTACAGCTGGGACAGTGGGCCTTTACTCACCGTGGTTCCTCATGTGGTCACGAAGCAGCCTCTCTGTAGCGAACCTCTTGGAACAGTGAGAACACTGAAACCTCTGCTCTGCAGTAATGGCAGCAGGGAGAGAGGGGAGGGAGAAGTAAGAAAAGGACCAAAGCAGAGAGTAGAACAAACAGAGCAACAAATGAGAAAAAAAAGGATGCAGTTACAGTGGAGCTAGGAACCCTCCCCTCCAGTCAGGGGTAGAAGACACTAACTACAAAGCCAAAAGACACAAACAAGCAGAAAAAAAGCCAGCAGCATTTGCAAGGACCGCTCTGCCTTCTGTCTGTGCACCCTCTTTTTCCTGCCAGCGTAGAATCTAGGGAGCAACAAGCATGCACACCCCCTGCCCCCAGGAGCTTACGGTCCAGCGCGGTCTGACGGCGGATGTGGTCAAAGAACTTGGTGTTGTTGGCAAACATCCCACCACAGGTAGGGCAGGCCACCACCTTCTCCTGCGTGTGGCTGCGCAGGTGCTCCCGCAGCTTGCAGCGCCCTTTGAAGGTGCAGTCACAGTCTGAACAGGAAGAACAGAATGCCATTAAGATCCTCTGCTCAAGGGCTCGATAGGCCGAGCATCTACAGCCTGTGTGGCAGGCTGCCCACACAGAACCATGCAACATTTGTTGCACATGCCCTGCATTGCACCCGTTACCTTTCCAGCCACAGAGGACCACGTGGTTCTCCTTCCCAGCAGCCTTGTATTCCGAACAGAAGCTGTGATCCTCCACGTGCCGATAGAACCACTCAGGATTATCAAATGATCTCTGTTGGGGAGGAGGAACAGACAGAACAGAGCCAAGAGATCAGCATGTGCCAGAGCACAGCGGGCAGAGCAAAAGCGGCCCCCCTTCCCTCAGCTCCCACCTTACAGACAACACTCAGGAAAGCAGAACTAGGTCTCTGTTCTCACCTCACAGTATTCCCATAGGCACTGAAAGTTCTCCTGGATTTCAGGGACGATGTTGCGGCTCTGGAAGTCCAGCTGGCAGTGGCTCACCTCCGACTGGCCCTGCAGGGCCTGCAGTCCCCACTGCTTTAGCTTGGTGTGGTAGCAGTGGAAGTAGACGTGGCGGATGAGGTCGGCGGGGCTCTCCGGGGAACAGAAACCACACTCCTGCCACAGACACGTGTATTCCTCTGCAACACACACAGGAGACGAACAGATCCGTGAGGATCCGAGGCAAACACCGCAGATAAACCTACAAAGGCCTCCATGGGACCTGAGCCCCGCAGCAGGCAGAGCCGCTCTCCCCAGGGTAATCCCAGCCCCTCGCGGCAGACGCTCCTTACCGAGCGGATCCAGTTCGTCCCGCTGCTCGCCGGGCAGGTGCAGCCGCAGGTGCTGGGCCACATGCCCGCAGAACTCCTCCATGGCGGAGGCCACGTAGCTGCACGCCTCCCACTCGCACTGCAGCACCAGGGCTTCCTTACCGCCGGCCTTCACGGGCGGCATGGCCGGAGCCGCCGAGGCCTCTCTTCGCCTTTCCGCTCGCGTTCGCACAGAGGCTGCCGGTGCCCGAACACCGCAGCAAGGCCGCGGGCACAGCCGGGACAGACCGGAAGCGCCTCACTGGGGGACACCGGAAGTCAAAGGACAGCAGCCCGCTCAGCCAATAGCAGCCGTCTCCTCCGAGCCGCCGACCAATCAACACGCAGGAGAACCAAGCGCGTCCGCCTGCGCAGAGGAGGAGTACAAAGGTTCCGGGCACATTTCTACCCCCCGGGAGCCGCAGCGGGATCGAGGGCGCCGTCCTTTCGGACAGCGGTGGGACCGGCGTGCGCTGGGGCTTGGCAACCTCTTGTCCTTGCAGACAGGCTCCATACATGGAGGACTGCGGGTTTTGACACAGGCTCCAGCTACTACAGTAGCAGAACGTGAGCTGTTGTACACAACTCCTCCCGTCTGCAATCAGAACACACACACCTGGGCTGCACACCAAACACAGCCCCAGCCATCCACCAGTACTGTGGTTCCCGCTGTGAGACAATGCAACATCCTCTCCGTAAGGACAAGATGGACTGAAATGGCGGTTGGAAACAAACAAACACCCATGGAGTGTTGCATCTGCTGCACCGAGCTTTTGTAGATAGGATAGGAGAACAGAACAGAGATAGGATTCCTAGGAAAGTTTGCTTTGGCACAGGGAGATAACATGCTAAAAGTAAATGGCTATAAAAGCTGCCATAAAACATAATTGCTTCCCTAATTCCTACTGTATACATGGTACACATCCTAACTCACTGAATGACATAGAACAGTTGGATCTGATGCTTTGTCAAATGAAAACGGAACTTCAGGATTGAGTCTCACTCAACAGAAGGCAAGCTGAGTTTTTGTTTTATCTCTGTTCAATTCTTTTCTATAGGATCTGCTGTTGTTTTCCATGAGGGACAGAAAACACCTGGACTGGCCAGACTGTACAAAGCTAATAGCCGGGACAGTGCAGGGATTTAATTTCTGTCTCCTATCCAAACCAAAGTACATAAATATCTGGCACAAGAGACTAAACTGGATGGACAGCCTGCCAGGAGGCAGGTGGCAAGCTAAGCCTGCTGCTGATCAAGCAGAGACAGCTCCCTGCTGTTGGGACCTCACATCTGCCTGCACCTCACCAAGTTGCCTGGAGCTTACTGCCCTTCTGGCACCTCTCAGCCAGATCTGAGGCACTGCAGATAGCATGGTGGCCAGGGACATTCCCTCCCAACAGACAGATCCCTCCCAGTGCAAGAGATGATATCCATTTCTGTCTGTGTCCTGGCTTGTGCACAGATGCTGACTGGTCAGTATGCAGACCACACTCACCTCTAATTCTGACTATTTTGATCATAAGCTTTTTTTGGGAGCAGTGTCTCCTGCAAAGTGTTTGCCTTGTGCCCAGACTTGATTGAAATCTCCCTCTGGTCAAACGCCAAATGCAAGGAGCAGTTGCCCCAAAACTGCAATCTCTGCAGCCAGCAGAAAACATTTGGGGTAACCACAAGCCAGCACTGAGATTCTGCATTACTGCTCATCCCTTCCTAGCTCTCCATGTATCTGTGCTCCTGGGGATACAGTGCCATATGAATTTCAGTGGTAAACGGAACCAAACAGCACATCCTGAAAATCAGTCAGGCAAAATGGTAAATCCCACTTTTAGACATCAAACGTGTCAGCTGTGGAATGGCTGTTTGTGTTCTCCCTGGAGAACACAGCTGGGTGTTATCCAGGGGATTATCTTCAAAGTTCAGTTTTTCTCCGGAAGACCTCAACAAAAGCCCATCTGCACATTCCTCCCTGGTCCTGCAGGTGCAAGCTGCATGGCACAGCCCATCAGCCAGGATAAAGGAGACAAAAAAAGAAGCCCATAAGGGACTCAGAGCCATCTTTCATCTCCACAAAGCTTGCACCAGCCTGTTGCATATAACAGCAGCTACTTGCACTCACAGCTCCAGCTGTAAGGAACATGTACCTGCTCATCGAGCTTGTTGTATGGCACAGACCCAAGCTCACAGGGCAGAGGGCCTCAGTAAAAAGCTTGCTGCCCAGGGCATCCCACAGCCTTCAGGTGAGGCTGCTGGAAGATTCAGCTCTGTTGCTGTTAGATGGGAGTTATGTGCCATGGGGATTTCAGTGTCCAACCTTTGCAGAGTTTAGATGTGCTCCTCTCCAGCTTGTCAGTGTCCAAAACCATCAAACCTTTGAAAAAATGATATGCTAATGTTAAGCAGAAACGAAATCACAGGCTTTTCTCCCAAAACTCTGGGCAACCTTCATTCCATCCCTGCCACCGCGTTCTGCACAGCCAGACATCTGTGGCCATCTGGGCTTGCAGTAGGGGAGTACCCATGGGGACATCCTGGTCTGAGAGGGCCAAGCCTCATTGGAAAGGTTTGGAGATGTCTGTCTGTGCCAGCTCTAAAGGGGCTCAGCTGTGCTAACGAAGCAACGACCCCCACCTGCTGTGGGGCAGAACACTGAGCTGCTCAGGGGTGGTGGGCAGCACCAGGCTGAAGGGTGCTTTGATCCTCATGGATGCGGTGGTTCCCCTCTGTGGGAACCTGGAAAGGCAGAGGTCAGGACAGTAAGGTCACAGCAGAGCAGGAATGGCACAGGGGGGGGTCAGGGGACACCCACAGATCCCTTGCAGTAAGGCATGGGGCAATGGCCCTCCCCAGCAACTCCAGCAGAGAAAAAGAGCAAGGGAGGCATCTTGCAGCCAAGAGTGCATCCCCACCCTGAATGCATTGTGCTTTCCAGTTTGGGGTGCACGGAATAAACCAGAGGCTAAACCACGAGCTTTAAGTTAATAAACACACTGTGCTGACACTTCCATCTGCACACAACCTCCCCATTGCACAAGGCTTTCTCCAGGCAAGCAGAAACCTGAACTATGGGCAACAGAAGGCTCTGGGAGTTGGGATGCTCTTTACCCCCATCCCCCAAGGGCGTTTGTTTCGGGCTTTTTGCCTTTAGCAAAACAAAGGGACAAACCTCGGAGGGACTCTCAAGCGCTTTTCCTTTCATGCACATTGATTGTGACAAAACAGGCAGAAAAGCAGCACAGACCCAACCAAACAATGCAAGACCTGCCTTCAAGCAGCACAGACAGGCAGGAGAACCCCTGAGCCACAGACAGGCACTGGGACAAACTGCTCCCACAGCAGGCAGGCGTTCAGAAAGACTTCTTTGGCGAGCACTGGGAAGGAATGGCTGTGTTTGCATTCCCACCCTCCTCCCTGAGGACTATCAGCTTTACTCACTGCCTTTCTGGAAGCAGCTTTTCCATTCAGCACTTCAACAAGCATAGTGGAAAGCCCAAGGAGCTATAAAACAGACACTGCTTCCTCTATTGACCTCTGCTTTATACCCCAAAGCTCAGTAGTCCTGTGTATCTTATGCAAAAAATCAGCCTTATTGCTAATTCCCTCTGATAGACAAAAGACATCGCTGCGCACGGCACATGCACTGCAACACATCATGGAACAAACAGCTGTAAGAGCAGCTCTTTATCTGACAGATAACACAATCCAGACTCAAAGCAAACAGCAGATAACCAAACAACCCTTTGTATATTCATCACGCCGCCTAATTGAGCGGCATCTTTTATTTGAGCGCGATCTCGCCTCCAAACACAGTACATCTTTGTTGTGCAAGGAAAGATCTATGGCACAGCCCAAGCGCGTGTGGGGCCGGGGCTTCTGACAGCTGAACACGTGTGGGCTGCACTGACGCTAAGCAGATGTGCTGCAGAAGCCCAGCCAGCCCAGTCCCACTGCGCTGAGAGGAAGTCATGCAGGAGGAAATGGACTAATGGGCTTAAATTAAGCTGCACCATTCATCACCCGATAAGGAGCCAGGAGGCAATGGAAATCAAGCTCCCTGCAACACGAGTGTGCTTGCTGCAGGGAAAGCCAAGGGAGGGCAGCTGCAGAGGCACTGCGGTTGAATGAAGGCAGGAGAAGCCCTCCCTAAAGGAGGTTTGTCACACAGCAGTGCTGCTTCCTGCTAAGACTGGAGCCCAAATCCTTGTGCAGAGGGCAGCAACATTACCTTCAGCCAAAGGTTCAGAAGAGAATATAGACAAGATGGCAGCAAGATGCTGTAGCCATGGGCAGGCAGAAGCTCATGCAGCAAGAAGGGCGTCTGCTGAGCCCCGATTTGCATGTGGCAGCTCCAGCTCTGGAGCAATGGTGCCACTGAGGGCCCTGCCATGCAGACACCCAGCCCTGGGCAGGTGCAGCCCCAACCCTGAGGGGTGAATCCTGTCTGCCCGCAGGCCACAGGGCTCCTTCCTGCCACCTCCTGCGACTTGTGTGGGCTCAGGACTCATTTCCATGCTGGAACAGGGAGCAGCTGCAAGCCTCCCTCAGCACCAAAAGGAAGTCTTAGCGCTGGCAAATTTAATTCAAATCTTAAACCTCTGAATTTGGTTGCTTGCTGCGGCAGGAACCTCCTGTTTGCGCTATGCAAACTGAACACAGCAAGGCACCACCACCAGCCATGGAATCACCACCAGCCATGGAATCACCACCAGCCATGCAATCACCACCAGCCATGCAATCACCACCA